TTTTTTTTTTAACACGTGAAGGAGAGATAGAAAGTCAAAGAGAAAATAATTGAACCCCACAATTCAAAAAAAAACAAAACAAAAAAAGACAAAAAGAAAGAGAGATATTTTTTTTTTTTGTCATTGTTTCTGTTGTTTCTATTTCTATGTCTGATTTCTATTTCTATTTTTTCCAGACATAAAATAGTACATTATATGCAGGATGTATATAGAAGCCTTCTCATTTTCTAGCCAATAGACACTACTTTGCTTGTTAAATAATCAGACAATTTATAATTATTATACTCACTTACCCCAGAGTTTTCAATACTCAATACAAAAAGTCCGTTAATACGAGACGAGACTCAGTCAGAAAAATTCAAAAATTTGGAATTTGTCTTCTTTTTCACAGCTCAAGTTCTACTGTTACTACTTCCAGAGTACATATCCAACCCACCAAAGTCATATCAAGTAACCTCCCCTCCAGATTGAACTGCTGCTGCTTAGCCTTCCTTCAAGCGTGTCAAATTGCACTGACTGATTCGACAATAGTCGAGTTCATTTGAATTCGTTGGGTTTTTTTTCAGACAGACGAAAAATAAAATAAACAAGACAGGGAAGAATATCTCGTTTCCAAGTCACACAACAGAATATTTGGCACTCAATACAACGGATTAAAGTAGAATCTCCAGGTACACCACGTCTGCAAATCTATTTATAACAAAGTGGCCAATTAATCAAAACTACACTGACATCTCACACATAATTCACTTGTCCACATCCAATCTTTTGGTGTTAGTATTTTCCCAAACCCCTTTTTATTAACTGGGTCGTACCAACATTTTTGACCCTTTTCTCCCTCCCCCCAAAAAAAAAAAATAAAAAAAGGAAAAAAAAAAAACAGAGGTCAGTGTGAACAAAAAAGTACGCACCATTATCCACAAACTCTCTTTGACTTTTTGAATGATTTCAACCTTCAACACTACTACATCATCATTCATGAATACAACTAGTATTGGACTCAGGAGTGACTCTCAACACTCTTCTGTGAACCAGCTTCGTGATGATGGCAGCAGACTGGATGATCCTACCCCATTAAGTGTGAGTTCTACTCCAGGCTCAAATGACACCAATAACGACAAACCAACAACCGAGGAAGCCAAAAACGTCCCAGTGGAGCTAACTGCTTATGGCACAACACCTTCAGGGAAGCCACGTTTATTCGTTTGTCAGATTTGCACTCGTGCATTTGCTAGATTGGAACATTTGAGGCGACATCAGAGATCACATACAAAAGAAAAACCATTCAGTTGTGGAGTTTGCCAGAGGAAATTCAGTCGAAGAGACTTGTTACTACGTCATGCACAGAAGTTGCACGCAGGTTGCACTGATGCAATTACCAGGCTCAGGCGTAAATCGATCAGACTGAAGGAGGAGGATGGAGATGACGATGATGGCTCGGGGTTGGGGTCAGTACCTCAAGATGCCACAAAGGGGAAAGCTGAAGCAGTTGAATTTAATTTAAACTTGTTTGACTCAAGGGCCAAAACCACCAAGGCCAAAGTGCTGAAAGCAAAGCGCAACTCAACTGCCCAGCAGGCAAAAACTGCACCTGTAACAACAGTGACCCCTACTTCATCTACACCATCGTCAAGCAATATTACCCGCAAGAGCTCCAATTCGGCAAGTCTAAAGAGACAAGTACTCGAACATAAGAGACGTACTCCCGATGTTGCAGGGTCCTCGTCGGGGATTTCCATAACGCCGACCAGAGCTCGAGGAACATCCTTTTCCGCACAATCTGGAGCAAACTATGCAGTAAATGTCCCCGAATTCAATGATTCTTACCCACAAACAGACAACGTTGAATTTTCAACGCCACAATTTCTACCATCGAGCGCCGCAGACGAAATGAGCTGGTTAGATAATCTCGCCCATATTCCCGGCTTGTCTGACTCTTCCAACATTGTCAAGATGCAACGTACAAGCTCAATAACGTCTGGAGTAAATGGATACCCCACCCCACCTGTCAATGTAAGTCATCATGGATCGTTTTCCAATCCACATTTCACACCAATGGGTCGAAGCACAACAATGGAAAGTGTCAATAGTACAAACTCACATTTTGATGGAAGTTACATGATGCCAACTGTTACATTGACGAGCCAAGAGATCCAAAATGGTGTAAAAGCGCGCCAACAACAACAACATCAACATCAACATCAACATCAACATCAACATCAGCAAGAAGCACAAAAGCAGGCACACCAACAACCACACGTTCAACTGCACCCTCAACAACAGCAGCAGCTTCAACCAGATCAGAATAGTCTCCCTCATTCTGGTCAACTTGACAAGTACATGGACGGGTCAGGCTACTCCTTTTACGATATCCCCGATGAATTGTTGGATCAAGCCTTACATATGGATCCATCATCGCATATTCGGGTAATGACTCCAATACTACAAGCACCTGAGGAGGATCATGCAGTTGAAACCCGCGATGAGAACATGAATGCTGAATGGAACTTTCTAAATGATCTAGAAGGATTGACGCATGAAATCGACGTTGGAAGCAAGTTCATGCCCGGTGGATATTCGTTTTATGGGGATCAAATCTCTGCCGGCTCCTCAGGTGTCGATGGCAGTTCGCCAAGTAACTTGAAATCGCCACCTAGAGCAAACGGTAGCTCTCAACTGAATGTTATGAACCCGATAATGGAAAACACAATTGATCAACGTACCTTGCAGAAAATGGAAAATTCGTCAACTCCTCAAAGAGAGCAGCTCTTGGATAAGTTACCCCGGGTGAGATGGGGCAATTTTTCAAGGAATAAGATGTTTACGCACCATATGCGTCAATTAATTAATCGTGCATTGGACAAGTATCCAATTAGTGGAATCTCTACCCCAGTTATCCCTTCCAACGAGAAATTGGAATCGTTCCTTTATCGGTTTGTTGAAGATTTCTTGTCACATTTCCCATTCATACATGTGTCCAAATTGAATGAGTACGAAGTTATGAGCATGGCTTCTGATGAGGATGAATCTAATGAAAGTGCTAGAGTATGTTTGCCATTGCTCGCTGCCACTATTGGTGCATTATTGGCAAACAACAAGAATGAATCAGAACACTTGTATGAAGCATCCAGAAGAGCCATCCACATTTACCTTGAAAGCAGGAAAAATCCATTACAGGGCAAACCCAATGAAGCCGCTACACGAAATCCGCTTTGGCTTATACAATCACTTTCTTTGTCTGTCATTTATGGTTTGTTTTCCGATAACCCCAACAATGTGTTTATCGTTATGCGTCAGTTGAATGCATTGAACTCGCTTGTAAAGACGTCAATAAAGACTCAAGATCCAATTTTGTTCTCGATACACGGTGAGGATAAGATAATTTATGACAAGTTGCTAAGAAGCCAAGCTGATGAAGTATCATTATTCTCCAACACTTTGAGCGATGAGTTGAAATTCAAGAATCTGATCAATTTGCAATCGCAGACTCGGATCGTTTACATTATTTATCGATTAACGAATTTCCTTTCAATGGTGTATAATGTTCCGCTCACCTTATCGGCCAACGACTTGGACGGGTTGATTGTGCCCAATCGAAACGATGAACATTTGTGGAGTTTTAAAAATTTCCAGGATTTTCAAGAAAGTTGCTCCACGAATGGGGAAACATTGGCAAGGTATTTTGAAACGAGCAATATAAAATTCAAAGATTTGTTACTCAAGATCTCCAAGTCTGCAAATCCAGCACCTGTAACTCCCATCAGCGATGAACTCGAACGGTCGATTTCGCTCAGTCTTGATGAAATGGGTAAATGTGGATTTACCACGCTAGTGCATGGAATCTATGAGATTAAACAGTACAAAGAAATGGAGGGCATCGATTCATTTAAAGTCTTGGATGAGATTAGTGTACATTACCCCCGTGAAGTTGACCAACGGAACTTGAATAAGGATTGCGAAAGAGTTGATTACTTGTTGATGATGAATTATACAAAGATTTGCACTACTTTGAATATCAAATTCATCAAGGATCAATTGTGGTTCAAGACGTATCAAGATTTAATCAATAATTTTGATTATGTGTTTAAGAGTTTTCCAAGTAAAGGAGATGAGGATATTGATGATGATTATTTGAAAGTTGCTGGATGTTGTGTGCAATTGGTCAAGTTGCTTTCGTTTCGTACTGTTGCTTGTGGATCAAGTCAGCAGCCACAGCAACCTAATCAAAGCTACAATTCGGAAATTCTTGGGCAAGCTCCATTCAGTACTGACTTTGGGTATTTGGACAACACGTCAAACTCGTTTGTTGAAGCTCACAGTTTTATTCATCATCATGGTGAAGGCGGAGATCACAACAATCCCACCCACGCACCTGTATCGCAAGAGATTCAATTCACGCCACAATTTGAACCCACAAATGATTTAGTCCATGCACAAATGTTATTTCATGTGTTCAACACCATGGGATTGTTTTCGATATATGTAATACGACGCAAGTCGTTACTTTACAAGCAAGGGTTGATTCATGATGATGTGCAAGTTGGGTCAATGAAGCAATTTTCCGACAAGTTACATGTGATGTTGTCCCTTGTTGATCAACTTGAACAACAGTTGGTCCAGCGTGGGTACAATATCGATAACACGCATAAGAAAAGTTTAGAGTTTAGTGGTAATGCAGGCATTACTAATCCACCACCAGCACCGCCCTTATCATCATCATCAACCACCAGTGCTAGTCCCCGCGTGAAATTGGAACATGGCTGGTCACCCACATCGTACTTGATCAATGAAGGATCGCCTTTGGCATCTAGTGCCGGTGCTGGTGCTGGTGCTGGTGCTGGTGCTGGTGCTGGTGCTGGTACTCCAGAGAATTTGGATCTCGATTTACGACAAACAACATTGCGGATCTTTAGCATTGGTGAAGCGACACTAACCTATTTGTTTGAACATCAATTGCGGATCTCCATTTTGAAAATTTTGGCTACTAATTTACTGATGATGAAACAATACGTGGTTGAAAATAAAGATAAATTTGTAGAGTGAAGAGAGATGGATGAGTGGATGGATGGATATGGAAACATAATGTCACAATTATAAGCAAAATAAAAAAAAAAAGTAAAGATTAAAAATGTATGTATTTATTTTATGTTTAATAGAAAATTGAAAGTATACAGATATAGCGCAATGAATATGGTGGGTATTCTTCTTTTCGTTTTTGGGTTTTTTTCTTTGTTCATCATCCTAGTGTTCTTGTGTCGTATAGGAAATCGTTCAAGCCGTGATACATGAATTCGTCCAACAGGTTGTTTTCGGGAGTAGTCAATAGTGTGTTGCCTGTAGCCGGATTCTGTAAGTGGTGTTGTTGTTGTTGTTGTTGCTGAATATACAGTGGTGACGAGTATAGCTGCGGCTGTTGTGGTGGCTGCTGCTGCTGCTGCTGCTGCTCCTGATGCTCCTGATGCTTTTGCTCTATCCCAAATCGTGAGTTATACAAATTAGACCCAGCATCCTCCAAATTCGTAGTCGTGGCGTGGACATTCTGACTATATGGGTTCCCACCACTAAACTCCTCCATCTGGTATCGTGCACCGCCAACACCACCACTACTGCCAGCACCACCTTGCCAGCTAGATCCAATAGTAGTCATGGGCTGCAACAAGGATCCGAAATTCTCCATAAAATTGTCGTAGTCTTTATTGAATATGTCGCTGGGCGGGAATCGTTCTTCAGTGGTTGATGTTGACGTGGTTGTGCCTTTGCCTGAATCGTGAGAGTGGGCAGGGGATACGACTGATTTTTGATGTGTGAATGGATTCTGTTGGTGTTGCAGATGCTGCAGATGCTGCAGAAGTTGGTGTTGCATATTTTGATTGTGGTACGGAAATGGGTTGGACGGAGGAGGCTGGTGCTGAGTCAGGGTTTGAAAATGCTGTTGAGGCTGTGGCAATTGTTGTGGTTGGGATTGAGATTGTGACTGCGCTTGCGACAGAGGTGTAGGCTGCTGCTGTTGTTGCTGTTGTTGTTGTTGTTGTTGTTGTTGTTGTTGTTGCTGTTGTGGTGGTGGTGGTAGCTTGCTTTCAATTTGCGACCGTGATGGCGATTCCAAATACTCATGGTTTTCCTTCTTTCTCTTCTTGTGTCGACCAGGTTCTCTTTTGTTCCCATTAACATCTAAATTAAACTTAGCCATCAAGGCATTTTGCATTTGATTCATGATGTAATAGTATCTCGTTGCCATTATATTTGTCTTTGAATAAAACTGAAGTATCCTTTTCGCTGAATTCAAATGGATCATCATCTTGGGAGTCGTTATTTCATCATTCTTATAATCAGTCTCTTCCAAGCACAATGTGGTTAGTCCAATGATTAAAGTGGCCATCAATACAGTTGATATAATAGCATTGGACTCCACCCGCTCTGGCAAAAACTTGGTGTAATTTGTATAACATTCCATCAACTGGATGATCAAAGTGGAAGCCTTCACTGTAGCTTGACAGAAATTGCAAATAACAGTTTCGCGACGTCCCCTTGGCTTTTTCAAGACTCGAGTGTTTTCCAGTTTGAAAATTATGTACATGAAAAATGGTCGAGATAGTAAAATGACAGCGTATAGATGCGACAAATGAATTAATAACAATGAAATCTTTCGATCATCAAATTCACCCCGACTAACGTCGAGATTCCCATTATCTTTAACTGCTTTATCCATTTGCAACTCCTCGGGCAAGTTGAGTGCCCATTGTTTCAATTCAACTGCCAACTTCTCTGCTTTAAAAGTATTGACGATACCATCCAAGTAAAACTCACGAATAATCTTGCCTGTAATTTTAAAAACTTTGGTTGTTTCAATCATAGCCTTTAGTCCAAAATTTTCAATCGGTTGACCATTTTGATCTAAATCGTATATTTCAGTACTGTCAAAATCATCCCAATCGTAGTCATCAATAAGCAATGGCCGTCCCAACGTCATTGACGTAATACGGTCCAATATGTACAAACTTTTGTACAATTTTCTCCGGTGTCTGACGTATCCTTTATCAGAAAAGGATTCATTGATAAATTTTCGATGAAGGCCCAAACCTTGGGCATTTCGAACGGCAATTCCCAAAATCAACCAAGCAGTACTCCGTTGATGGGTGGAGGAGTAGTAGAAAAACGCAAGTGTCATTGCCTCAGATATCCACAATTTGCCCAGATTCATATACTTTCTCGCTAAATGTATGCCAAATTCAAAATATTCTGACGACTTCATCTGTGGTGATTCCATACTTTGACAAATTGGATCACCTATAATTTCAGCATACAAAAGCCCCACACCAATCATTAAATTGATCAACGAGATTTGTTCAGCTGAACATTCACCATAATTGTTATAAATTGGGGCTATGACGGTTTTTTCAAAATGCTTCATATCGAACAAATAACATGCTTCATTAACGTTTATGTAAAACAACTTCAAGATTCTAGTAAGCGCTGTGCGGCTAGGTAATGCCATCTGAACAACTTCATGAGCCTCTTCTGCATCGTCAAAAATCTCCAAGGAGTCTGGTTCTTCAGTGAAATCCGACTTACCCATGTGGTTGGCAAAGATTTTTCTGCATTCAAATAGGAGGGAAAGCGGTGCTGATTCACCAACATATTTCAAGTTTCCTTCTGCGTCAAAGAGTACACGTTGCAGATCGGGAGGTTCTGTCCAGCTAGGACGTTGTTTGGGTGATTTTGTGTGTGGATCTGAGTGAGACTGCGCTTGCACTTGTGAGATAGATTGTAGGTGTGTCTGCGTTTGTGTCTGTGCTTGTTGTTGTGAGTGGGATTTTGATTTCGAATTTGAACGCGACATGGAGGTGCCCAGTGTATCATTGGTTGAGCCATTCTCTACTTGATCACCATTTTCGTCACCTTCTTCAGATCCAGTCTCCTCCATGCCACTGCCACTACTGGAGTCTTCTGATGACTCATCCACCTCCATCAGTTCAGCCTCTGCGCTGTCTATTTTTTTGCCCTGAGACTCATCACTTTCTTCGGAAGCTTGAACAACTGGGAAATTCGTTAATGGTTGGAAATGGATGGGAACTTGTGATGGTTTTCGTAACATGTCCAAGGACTGCTTGTCGATTTTTTCCTTCTTCACTACGTTATGAACAAAGTCTTTTGCTTGTTTGGAGGAGTGTTTGGAAAGTGGTGTTGTTGCTGCTGCTCCAGTTGCTGCTGCTGCTGCACCTGTTATATCTGCACCACCCACTGCAAGATCGTCTGCAGCTGATGCTGCCGTCGTTACTGTCGTCGCAGTCGCAGTCTCAGCATCCACTTCAACCTTAACTTTTCTCTTTTTGTTCTTTCTTCGTATAGTTCTACGATCAACAATACTGAAAACACAATCAATATTTTTTCTCAGACATAGGTCACAGGGTGCTTTGCCGCTGCATTTGAACTTCCTCTTTTTGCAGTAGTCACAAGCTCGTGATACCTTTGTACGCTTGTCAATCTCCAAACCTTCTGATGTCGCCATTTGGTGTCGTGTTGTGACTATATGTGCATACAGGTGGTTGTGCGTGTGTGTGTGTGTGTGTGTGTGTATCAGCGTTTGTTGGCTTGTGGTTAGTGTAGGTTGACCGTATGACAAGGACTGGTGTCAGTACGAATATATAATATATCTCTCAAAGCAAAGTAGTTAGTTGTTGATTATACCAGGGAATAGTCTAAATTTGAATTTTCTATATATTTTCTGGGGGCAGAGAATGAGAGAGAAAGAAAAAAAAAAAAAAAAAAAAATTTTGGAACTGTTGGGAGAGTATAGACAAAATTGTAAAGATGGTAATGGTGTTCAACTAGCTGTACAATAGTAGTAAATAGTCAGTAAGTAGCTTTAGTACAATCATATTGTTAATACATATATATATGTATATACAACTATATAGACATGTAGATACAACCACAGAAAGAGAGGGTCATATTTTGCTCTGTACTAAGTTATAAGTATTTTGTGCCTTGCTTTGCAGGGACTAAAAAATTTCAATTAGGCGGCCAGAGAGGGAGAAAGAAAGAGGGAGGGGATTTAGTAGAAAAGAAAGGAGACTGGGCTGGTGTGGGTTGCGGTCACACCCACACGTATATACATAGACAGCCTTACTTGTGAATGTAAACTGTTATGGTATCTATGTTACTTAGTTATGGAAGACACTGCTTTGGTCATTACGTGGTGGTTGTTGTTGATACTGAAAATTTGTTAGTAATCAATTTGTTTGGCAATTCTATTTATTTATTTTGCCCCGGTGATAATCTCGCTCTTTCTCGGAGGTAATCTTTAGAGTTTTTTTTCTCTGTAAACCCACGCTCAATGTGTCAATGCTCATATATAAAAAGAAAAAAAGATGGGGGAAGGGGGGGAAGGTGGGGGCAGGTGGAGGTTGAAATGTTTGCCACTAAAGACAACAACAAGATATATATGTTGGTTTCCCAAACCTTAATAATTACAACAGTGGTTGCAAAGCAACAACAGCTTTTTAGCAATTTAGAGTTTTCGTTTAAAAGTTACCAAATGTGACGTATTCCTTACTCCTTGACAAGACAGTTGCTGATGTGTGTTGGTACTATATATATATATATGTATGTATCTATATGCACGTGCATGTATACAGCCTTTTCATAGATATTGTACTCGTACCTTGTGTAACTACTAACTTTTACAAATGCAGTTTTGCAAAAGACACGTTATATTATGTTAATGGTAGCGTTGCGTTATCCTTTCTTCCTTTATCCGCTTCGGAGTTGCCTAATTAGGAAAGACTTAAAGCCACAGTTATACACTGTTTGTCTTTCTAATTCTTTTTGTGCACAAAGCAAGCATTCACTGATTACTAAGAACAACCAACTGTCTGAATTGACATATAGGTATGTGTATATATATATATATCGAGCATAGTATAATACAATCCACTGATCTCCTTTTTTATTTTTTTCACTACTTCTCTTCTATACGTTGCAAGTAGCTAATCCATTTAAAGCAATTGACCTATAAATTGTGTCATGTCCCAAGCACTCAAGTTATACACATGGGGTACTCCCAATGGATTCAAAGTTTCCATCTTTTTGGAATTCCTTGGTCTCAAGTACGATGCAATCCCCGTCGACATTAGCAAAAACGAATCGAAACTGGACTGGTTTGTCAAGTTGAATCCCAATGGGCGTATCCCCACCATTGAAGACCCCAATTTTTCCAAAGGTGGAGACTCAGGTTTGGTATTGAGCCAAACTGGTGCCATATTGCAATACCTTGCAGACACGTATGACAAGGAGCACAAGTTTAGTTACCCATATGGAACTGAAGAGTACTACAAGACGTTGGAGTACTTGGTTTTCCAAGTTAGTGAAAATGGACCTATTCAAGGCCAAGCCAACCATTTCATCTTGTATGCACCTGAAAAAGTGCCATATGGAATCAATAGATATTCCAATGACGTCAAGAGAATCTACGGAGTTTATGAGGATATCTTGTCAAGAAACAAGGCCAATGATAGCAAGTACTTGGTTGGTGATCGTTACACCGTTGCTGATTTCGCCTTGTTTGGATGGGCAGTGGCTTTAAGAGTTTTGGATATCGATATTCACCAATGGCCATTGTTGGGTAAGTGGCACGATGCCTTGTTTGCTTTGCCTCAAGTGCAAAAGGGTATCAGAGCTGTTCCACCAAAATGGTTGGCTGAACAAGAGAAGCAAAAGTAGGAGTGTAGCACTTGACAATTAGTATATTTACTATTCTTCTATAAAATTGATTACAAAAAGATAATCGATAATATGACTTCTATTAAAAGGAACCTCTAAACCAGTAGACTACCTCATCCCTTTTCCCTCTATAAATTCCTCTCTACACCACCATCAACTCAAACATACATACAATGCATAAACAATCATAAACGTAATCATCCCACTCATCCAACTATACCAACTCATATACAACGACGACACCAATTGACTATTCAGTCGTATATCCAAATAAAGCCAATAATAATCAACACAGTGGTATTCTGCTTCGTTTTTGTTGATGAGTTTGTATTGACTATATTGCTGATCTGTGGTTTTATTATATTGTTTTAAACTCAAGTATGGCTCAAATTGTATTGAGGTTGGGGTTGGGGGTGATGTTGGTGTAGTTGGTGAAGTTAATGTAGATTTAGTTGGCTCTTTTTTCTCTAGTGTGGCGAGATATTGGTTTAATTGTGATTTAAACTTGATCTGCGTTGGCTTTATGGGAAGATTTGACACTGATGAAGGCTTATGCAAACGTATCCTTGATTTAACAGAAGTAGTACTCTCAAATCCATCCCTTGCGACTACTTCCACTGCTTTATATTGAGGCGGTGGACAAGAAGGAACAGTAGAGACACCATCATCTTTATCGATTGTGACTTCCTTTTTCTCTTCATCAACCAGCACAAGAACCTCTTTATCAACGGCACTTTCAACTAACGAATCCTGTAATTCATCCAACGATATTCGAGGTGAGCATTCAGTAGTGGTGACTATACAGTCAGGCATCTTGTCACAGTAACAACAAGAGCCCAGCTCATCTTCACTTTTGGATACATCGTCAACAAATATCGTGCTAGTGCTACTTGACCTTGATCTTGACTTGCTTTTCGAAGAAGGGCCAACCAGCTTTGTAAGCGAGGTAGACTTGTTTGCAATACGTAGCTTTATAATGGCATTTTGCCTAAACTTGGAGAATTTGGCCTTGAATTTGAGATAGGTTTTGCTATTAGCCGCGGTGGTGGTGCTAGTGGTGGCATCCTTGTTGTTGCCTCTAGTTTGCTTCACTGGCGGTTGTGTATACTTTGAAGACGCCACTTCTGAAACATAGTAGTCAGGCTGTAGTTGTGGCATGTTTTTGCTAATGTATAAAAATAAAATGACTATTAATGTGATATGTGTGTACTGAGGATGGATGGAAGAGAAGGTATATTCTCAGTTTATGCGTATGTGTGTGTATGTGTGTGTGCCCTTCCTGCTTAAATCATACCCTTCTGCTGTACTTTTCTGAGAATATGTCTGGAAAGAAACAAAGAAAGGAGAGTGATTGTGGTTGAGGAATATATCTAGTATTATATATTGTTGTGAGTTAGTTATATTGTTGTTGTTGGTTATCAGCGGTTAAATATCCAAAAAATTTTATGAATCATCCACCACAAAGACAAAGAAAAAATATTACAAAAGAGAAACAAAAATTTCTTTTTCTTTTTATTTTTTTTGTTTTTGTTTCTCTCTCTCACTTTTGCTTTTGCAACTACAGCTACTACATGCAACAAACAGCAAATATAAAACTCGGCAGTGAATGGATGCTCTTCCCTGTCCGTTTTCAAACCTTTCGATTAAATAGGTATGTTGATTGGTGAGTTTTCCTCAGCTCATGTAAACTTTTACTTGAAAAAATAGAGTTGTGGCAGCGGCAACAAAGGATCGACGTCACTAACTTATTGTATCCCGAGTCTTTCCTATTGTTCTTATCCTATGTTCACTCTCTTGTCTTTTCATTTATTTTTGCTATCGAGGAAAAAACAATACAAAAACTTTTTGCGCAAATTGTTCTGTTGATACTTAGCAAAGGTGTGGCTCTAAACACAAGAGAGAGAATGGGATTATGGCTAATTTTATTGCCAATCTTGTTACCTCCTTCTTTTTTTTCATTCTTTCTTCCTTATCATTATCTCCGTCCGGGTGTAACATATTTTGCACCATTGAAACAGCAAGGTATTATGTGGCTTTAGTCAGTTGCTTTTGCGCAAAAAGCAAAGGATAAAAAAAAAAAAAAAAAAAGAACAAAAGGAGAAATATGCGTCTTCTGCGTTCCCATTACACCACATATTCGGTCGCCTCTATCCAACTGATGGTGTAAAGATGGGCAATCCTCTTCATCTTCGGTTAAATAAGCACTTTCATCGGAAGTGGGGCAGATCTTGGTGGAAAAGTGAAATTTACCCCACCAGTAATCCCATTCAAACGTTTGAGTGCTTTTTTTTTTTTTCTCTTTTTTTTTTTTCTGCTTTCTCTGTAAGCCGAGGAAAGAATACTTACGAACTGATATCTGCTGGTTTAGAAAGTCTTGTAGGAAGCTCCATCAAAGTATCCTCGTTTACCAATGTAGTGATGAAAAGAATTCCACACCTTTTGTCCTAGCGTCAAGCTTGATAGCAATTAAAAGCAACTCAAATAGGATGCCTGATCTAAAAATAAACCTTAATTTGAAAAAGTTGTTCTCCTATTTCATCAACCATAGTTATCTAATTGTGCATATCTTGCAACAGCAAATGTCATGTTACAGAAATCACCTGTTTTCGGAAGCAATTTGTTTCTACAACTTTAGCAACATCTTCTTACTATGCTAGAGGCAAGTGATGTTGCATTTTTTTTTTTTTTTGTTAGTTGTGTCGCACAATCTCCAAGGAACATTTTTTTACGCTTCCTTTCTGCCGAACCTTTACCTCCGAGGAATAGAGAAATTGACAGTGGCGACAGTAGTTGATGTTCACATCCAACCTATAACTAAGGAAGCTCCTCCCGGCACAATCAAGACTTCCTGGTTGCTTTTGGGATGATATTTCTAGTCGTTGGTGTATATAAAGTAGCCCCCTTTTTCAAAAGCCGTTGATGTTTGATATTGCAAATTCAGTCTAATTACAACTTTGCAACAGTTGCAAAACTACACCATTTACTACCAAATCTAAGTAGAAGATTCCCCTATTTTCAGAGAGCCTTCTATATCATATTGCCTTTCGTTTGCTTTGTGCACCTTACAGCTTAATATTATTATTACTTTGCATTAACTTTTTTGCTTGGCACGAGATTCTCGAGAAATTTTTGCGCTTTCCCTTAAAATTGCGCTTTGATATATTTAACATATGGGGCAGGATCGTCTAAAACTATGTGGACATGAAAAAAGAAAAAAAAAAAATAAAAAAAGAGGAAGAAAAAAAGACTAAGCTAACTTATCAAAAAGTCATCAACATTTACTAAATCACTTTAACTGTATATTTAAAACCATAACATCTGCCAATACATACCACCAATCAATCAACATTACATTACAACAAAAGGAAAATAAGAGCCTAAATGTTGTATAATATTTGGTTATGCATTTGATATTCAGGGGTGTTACAGAATTGTATGCTAAGTTTGTGCACTTTTAATTTTCTGATATGCAATTTTGATGTGTTTGATAATATACCTTTGCCACAAAAACAAATTACCAAATGAATTGGCCAGTTTTCTATATTTCGTGCAAGAGGGGATGTTACAGACAAGTCCCCTAGTAGCTTGAGCATGTGAGTTTGCCTGACTCGTGTATTGGCTATCCTACAACCAAGTGTCTACAATCTACACTTCTACATAAGAACTCAAATTATTCAACACAAAACTTTTAATCACATTCTACTCAAGTATCCTCTATAACTTAATGCATACCTGGGAGTTGTAAGCCAAATGCAAGCACGATCTAAGAATGAATTATACAAGCCTGCTGTTCAAAACAAATCAAGTGGTTAGAAAATCGGAAAAACGCCAGCTTCCATCAAGAGGCAAAAAATAAGGATAGAGTACAAAACATACATTTCTTGTATGCGTTGCAAACTCAAACTTATTCAATTGTAATACTCAATCATTTAAAGTGATATAGGTTGTAAAATGATCGTTACCCTTGAACCAAAAACAAACTGAAGCAATGCCTCTCGAATATATCCCATGCTACTTATTGAAAGCGCACAGAAACTGTCTTCAAGTGTATTTGGAGTTGTAAGGAAGCTCCTGTTTCTGCTGCAATATGATGAGTAGGTTTTCTTTTCTTTTTTGAGAAGCAAATTTCTCAGTCTATTTATAGTCCGTTGGGGTATATATTTCAAGTGCAACCCACCTCTGAAACTTCCCATTTCGATTGAAAAAAAAAAAAATTCCATTTTTGACATGGTCAACTTATTTCTTTTGGGAAATTCCACAACTTTTCATATACAGTCGATTATTTGAATTGATAAAACATATCAAAGAACTTCAGATAAAATGACATCTTGTATTGATTTCAACCATTAAAAAGTATATATATATATATCCTTATCCCATGTATAGTACCAATATTACAGAGTCATATCTTTCAAGGACTTTGAACGATATCACATATTGTATGAAAAAGTTATTCCGTTTTTTTGAATGAGCCAATTTTTGCCACACTTTTGCAACAAAAATTATAACTAACTACACCTTATATCTCTTCCACAAAAATATGGTGAATTAGCTCCAGGACGCCATAGCTGGCCATAAGACACTACTTAGTATGATTATCAGCAACACGTGCTTCTCAAGGTTTCTCGACAATTTGCCAATTACGAGCAGTACAGGAATTGTTCACCTGTACATTTACATTAAACGTGGCTGGCATTTGCTCTACATAAAAAACCACCCAAAGTATTTGAAAATTACACGCTCTTTTAGCTCAGTTGGTAGAGCGTTGCACTTGTAATGCAAAGGTCACTAGTTCGACTCTGGTAGGGAGCAGCTTCTTTTTTTGCTTTCTTTTTGCTTCATTTTTTTTTTTCTTACGAATCTCAAAGCTCTCTGTAAACTCACTTTGACTATTTCCTCTGCATATTTGATGGAAGCAGATACCACACGATCCGTCTTGTCTTCCAGTCCCTTGTTTCTCAGATTACATTTGCCTCCTCGACAACATTGGTTTGAAATTTCTTTTTGCTGACGCAGAAAAACAGAGCAAAGAGGCAAAACAAAAAAGAAAATTACAAAAGCAAATCTATTCCTCACGGATAAACGACAACTTTATTGCACACACACAGTCCAAGGATTGAACAATGAATCCTTTACTTAATAGACGACTAATATCCCATAAGCAATCTTTAGTCAATGCACGGTCTCTATTTATAAGACCTACACTGAGAGCCACTTCCAGATTCATACCCTACCATCACCGTCACCACCACAATAATGGCATAATAATCCCCACTAGAAACATTGGATTTATCAAAGTATTGGCAAAGGCAACAAGATTGCCTGCATATATAGGTGGGGGTGTGGCTGCTGGAGGTACATACATTGCATACAAAGTCGAACAAGCTAGCTCCTATACTCAAGATCAATTGAGTCGATTCAAAAATTTTACCGATGGTGTATTTGATAAAACAGGAGAGTTTTTCAAAAGCATGAGTGGTGGCGATGGTGGAAACGGTGGTGATGCAAGTAGCGGTGGTGGTGGTGGCAGTAGCAGTAGCAGTAGCAGTAGCAGTAGCAGTAGCAGTAGCGGTAGCAGCAGCGGAGGAGGTAGTGGGGGAGGAGATGAAGCAGCTACTGCTCTAGGTGCCACTGCAGCAGCAGTTGGTCTCACTAGTGATGACGAAGATGAGACAGCAGTCGAACAGGAAGAAGATGAAGATGTCATGGAAACACTCATTGAAGAAGACGATGAAGATTTCGAAGGACCTGATGAGACAGACGACAACATGTTGAACCTCACGCGTCAGATGATTGAGATTAGAAATTTGTTGGCTAGTATAGATCACGACGGCATCAAATTACCCTCGATTGTGGTTATTGGCTCACAATCTAGTGGAAAATCATCTGTTTTGGAAAGTATTGTTGGTCAAGAGTTTTTACCAAAAGGTTCCAATATGGTTACTAGAAGACCTATTGAGTTGACTTTGGTGAATACACCGGAGTCAGCATCAAACGTAGCTGAATTACCTGCCTTGAAAATCAACAATTTAACCGATTTCACTCAGTTACAAAAGATCTTGTATGATTTAAATATGACTGTGCCAGAAACAGAGTGTATATCAAATGACCCGATTCAAGTGACAATTAGGTCACCAAGGGTACCAGATTTATCGTTGGTTGATTTGCCAGGATATATCCAGGTAGAGGCTGCTGACCAACCTACTGAGCTAAAGAAGAAGATTAGAGAGCTTTGTTTCAAATATTTGGAACCGCCAAATGTTATTTTAGCCATTTCTGCAGCTGATGTTGATTTGGCAAACTCAGCCGCTTTAAGAGCATCCAGATTGGCTGATCCAAGAGGTGAGAGAACAATTGGTGTTATTACCAAATTGGATTTGGTGAGTCCAAAGGAGGCACACCTGATATTGACTAATCGAAAGTACCCATTGAGATTAGGGTATGTGGGAGTCATTACCAAAGCACCGCAAGCAACGGGAAATACTAGTTTGTTTTCAAGAAACAAAGTTACTGGATACCAAGCGTTTGTAGCGCAACAAAACTTTGAACACAATTACTTGAAAGAACACAAGGATGAGTTTTACGGAACTACAGTTGGTACGAGAAATTTGAAAAAGAAATTGATGAAGGTGTTGGAAAAGACCATGGCTGCATCTCTCAGGCCAACTCATTTGGCAATTCAACAGGAGTTAGAGGAGACATCATACGAATTCAAAGTGGAGTTCAATGACCGTCCATTGACACCCGAAATGTACTTGGCAAACAATATCGATATGTTGAAGTTGGGAACTAAAGATTTAAGTCATCGCTTCTCTCGAAATGAATTAAAGGCCATTTTGAAGAATGCTTTGGATCAAAAGGTGTTGGACTTGTTGGCGGAGCGGTATTGGAATAAACCATTTGAGTTGAGTAGCTCAACTGCCGTGGAACCAAACTTGAAGGAGTTGACGCAATCTATCCATGATGGTGATGTTTACTGGCATAGAAAGTTGGATTTGGCTTCTGGTTCATTGACAAAATTGGGTGTTGGTAGAATGTCAACCAATTTGATTACAAATGCCCTTTTAACCGAAGTGGAAAATCTTGTTGACATAACGCAATTGAAGAATCATCCAATGGCAAAACAGGCAGTCAAGGATGCTGCAAAAACTGTGTTGAGTGCCAAGTACTATTCAACTGCCGACCAAGTTGAAAACTGTATCAAGCCATACAAATATGAAGTTGAGATTGAGGACCGTGAATGGGATGCATCTAAAGCTAACGCTGTAGCTTTATTGAAAGAGGAGATGAGACAGTGCGATGAAGTTTACAATGATTTGAAACATCATGTGGGTGGACGCAAATTGCAACAGGTTGTCACCTATTTGGAAAAATTGAAGCAAACAAAATCAGACAATATCGACCTCACCTCGAATGAAACATTGGGATTCTCACCAACATTGATCCAACGTGGTAAAGATGCCATTTTCTTGAAAGATCGATTATCATTGCTCAAAATGAGGTATCAATTCATCAAGAACTCAAAAAAGTGTAAGTCAAAAGAAAACAAGTACCAATGTCCCGAGATTTTCCTCGATGCAGTAGCTACAAAGATATCCACGACGGCAATCTTGTTTTTAAACGTTGAATTATTGAGTGATTTCTATTACAATTTCCCCCGTGAATTGGATGTCAAGTTTTTCACTAATCTATCTAAAGATGAGATTGAACGTTTTGCGAAGGAGGACCTCAAAGTCAAGAAACATATTGAGTTGCAAGAGCGCAAGGATTTGTTGGAAAATGCCTTGAGCAAGATTGAGAGTGTGTTGGCTATCCAGCGTGGACAACTGAAGGAGAAGGAAGAGGAGCATAAATCAATCTTCAAGTGGTGAGGATGATGTTTTGCAACTTGATTTCTTTTGTAAATAGAGGGAAGGTGGAGGAGGAGGAGGAGGGGGGTTGATGTATAGTGAGGATTTGTAATGTGTATGTATTTTTGCTTTACTTTACAATGTTTGATATACGATCGAATATAGATTCTATTTGAATCCCATCAAGGTTCTGGAATATTGGTTGGAATGTATGCAAGTCAATCACCTTTGATCTCTCTTCATCAAAACCTGCTTCATCATCATGACCATTAGATTGGTACCTGACGGGAGCATTACCATCACTCAATAAATCGACGTTTGCTTGTGCTGTGATCAACATTTGATTAATCTCATTAGCCAATCCAGTAATTTCACCAGCACTTTCCATATCCAACAAACTCGAGCTCAATGATCCCACACGCGTATCCAAGTCAACAAATAAAAATCCATCAGCTCCAGTTTTAACCGAGGCTATTCCCAGTGAATGGTGATGCACCGAGACTGGTTTCAATTGATTTGGTTTGAAAATGTATAATTTGGAGCTGATTTGTAACTTGTCCAAATCGGACTCAAAATTGGAGTATGAATTGATGGCTAAACAAATGAGGTTTCGTGCCGGATCAATAGTTATCAAGTTTTTGCCACCACTAGTTGTTGAAACTTTTGTCACTAGCTGGGTCAATTGACCTTTAATCAAGTCGAAAACACAAAATCTCGTCTTTGACAATACAGCGAGATTGTTGTTCAAGTACTTGATGGATCTGATTTTCGATTCGGTCAATATTGGAAGTTGAAACTCCAAGGGGTCAAATGTCCTACTATCAAAACAGGTGATTGAACATTCATGACTTAGGAAAATTGTGGAGGCATCGTCGGACCATGCTAATGACACTGCATCCGACACAGTATTTGAAAATGATGGTTTTTGTTTACGTAAAGTCCATGCAATTTGTTGTGACTTGTTTGTTGGTGCGCCACTACCACCAACCTTGTAAGCTTCCTTGGGGTATGATGGTCTCCACACCCTGATTCCACCTTTATTATCAGCAGTTAAGAATGCCACTCCGTTGAAATACGAAGTGGGTGCTGGAATCAATGACATTACTGGAGCGGATTTCCCATGAGGGTCAAGGATCTTTGTTGTCAACTCCCAATACCCATTTCTATTATCTTTATCCTTTTCCTTTTCCTTGTCTTTATTTTCAACAAACTTCCAAAACTTCAATGCGTATTGCTTATCGTTTGTTGACAAAAGACGATCAATTTCCGCACTCGTGACTTCATCGTAAGTACACATCCATTCGCCATCGGTTGTGAATTGTAGTAATGAAATTTGAGGATCAATCAATTTCATTTCCGAACGTACTTTACCAGTCGATATCACCGACGCTGCATGTTGAATAAAACTTTGTTCATTCTTGACCAAGTCAAAGGATTGAATTGATGATTCGTTAGGAAAGTACAAGTTTTTAGTTTTGGGATGTATTTCAAATTGACAGCTGTAGTCGTACCTCAATTTGAGTTTGTTGAATTGGTCCAAACCTTCTTTGGCAAGTCTCTTTTTCGTACGTGATAGTGTAGTTTTCACATTGTTGGCAAATTTGGGTCTGATTGTGTTTACTGACAATCTCGATACAAGATCCACCAATGATAAAACCAAGATCTCATAATTGTTGACATCAGTTCGCAACAACAATTCAACATAGTCATTCTTGTTATTGTCAATGTTGATCTTATCAATGACCCCATTCAATCTTGGTAAAAATTGTTTCTTTTCCGTCTCCAATTGCCAAAATACCAAAACTTTTTCAGCACCTCCTGAAAGTAGATAGTTGTTATCGTGCGAGAACTGCAACGCATCCACTTGATCAATATGCCATTTAAACACCCGTTGTTGCAACTTGTCGCTGGTCACGAGACCGCCATACAATACTTGAATCACACCTGCATTTGTCCCCAAGGCAACCAAGGAATCATTCGACACCGCTATAGAAGTGATTGGCGACCTATATTGGAAAGGTATCACTTCTTTAACAACCAACGACTCCAAGTTTGACACTGATGTAGTATTTACTTGTTCATCCTCTTCCTTGCTATTAGCAAAATAGGTGCTCAAGTCCAACAACAAAACCTTATGGTCATTCATGACAAAAGCCACCTTGGTACAGTCTAAAGACGCGGAATACATTAGCACATTTGGTACTTCGCCAATGACTGACACCAGCTCCGACGTCCTATCGATGGAGTTTATAAATCTTGTGTGTGGACTGGCACCCCTTTTCTTATCTCTCTTTCCAGTAATGACAATATACTTGTTGTGTCTAACACACAAGACCGACAATAGAAGTAAATTACCCAATTGTTGCTGTATTGAAGTTTGACCAATTATGGCATCACTCAACTTATCTTTATAATTGACAGTGATTATTTCTCCAAAGCTTTTGAAAAGAATGACATGGTTCGGATTAGTGACGTCCAACTTGATATCCACCAAGCCAGCCAAATCTAAATCTATCGTTTTTACGCATTGTCTAGTGGATATAAAGTAAACTCTAATCTGATGAGTTAATGTAGTGATCAAGTATCTTCCATCGTGCGAAAATACCGATGCTGTGGATTGTGAGTATGGGAAGTGGGTCGGTACTCCACCCGTTAGCATGGATAGTGACCATTCATCTATGCTTGCAGAAGAAGGCATGTTCTATTTTTTTGCAGTGAGGTGAAAATGAAGTGGTGATGATGTATAGTTTGAAATTTTTTCGAAATTTTTCGATGAGGAATGAGGGAATGAGGAATAGACGAAAAAAAAAAAATCGTTCAACATTCAACATTAATCATCATCATCATCATCAACTGATTAATCAGCATATCATAAGGGAACCCCGTGACTGGAAGCATCATAGGTACTCTACATTATCAACTTGTTTTATTTATTTACACTTACATACAGATTATCTCAACTATAAGCTGGAGAGGAGACACTACGAACAAGAATCTACTGAATAAACTATCATCAGCACAGTTATTTACATACACTTTCTTTTCTTTTGCCACCCCACTAACACATATACACATCCCCCATTATGATTATTCCAATACGTTGTTTCTCCTGCGGTAAAGTAGTGGGTGACAAATGGGAAGCTTACTTGGAGTTGTTACAAGACGAATCCATGCCAGAAGGAGAAGCTTTAGATAAACTAGAGTTGAAGAGGTATTGCTGTAGAAGGATGGTGTTGACTCATGTTGATTTGATTGAGAAGTTTTTGAGGTATAATCCGTTGGAGAAGAAGGAGATAAACTAGAGAGAGAGAGAGAGAGAGAGAGAGAGAGGGAGAGAGAGCGGGAGAGAGAGAGAGAGGGAGAGAGAGCGAGAGAGAGGAGTGGACTAGTTTGAAAGGAGTGGTTTGCTTCATATCATTTGTGGTTCTTATTGTACCTTTGTATACAGAAGTTTGATGAGCTCAAAAATGCATCACAGTTTGTTTCATATACTTTATATAAAATAAAAGACTTTCGAGTATTGGTGTGTAAAGTTTTTACATCGATTTTTTACCTATACACTTTAATTGTTGGCCTTTGCAGTGTCAATAGCTTGCAAGTACTCATAAAACCAAGCGTGCAATTGCAAGTGTCCATCAAACTTTAATCTCTCATCAACAGAGTGGACACCACTACCAACAAGAATATTGTAGACGTAAAATGGTGAATACCTGAAAATATTTCTCGTCAAGTTCCAGTAATATCTGGTATCGGTATTACCTGACATGATTGCCGGAGCAGTGGCGATTGGATATGTCAAGTTTGTGTAAACCAAGTCTTCAAAAACGTGTCTTGTAACACCCGACAAGTATTTCCAAACAGTATCATCGGTTGGTGTCAATGGTGCAGCTTCCAAGCCTTTATTTCCAGTGATCTTGAATTCCCCAGCATATGGAGTATCCTTTGGTGGCTCGTAAACAGTCTTGCCAAAAGCAGTCACAATCAATCCGTGTCTTTTGGCAACTTCAACAACACGTTCAGTGAAGTGACGCTTGACAGTGGCGACATTGGACTCAATAGCAACACGGTGGTTGACTGCTAATTTTGTGTCTTCTGGTAACGCATTGACTTTTTCACCTCCATTGATAATATCCAAAGCTTGCGATGTTTTGATAAGATATTTCAATAATTTACTCTCGGAAATCTTTGCAACCAATTTGGAATTTGCAAACTTGTCAAAACCTGATCTCAAGATAATCTTTTTAAAAGACTTTGGAATTTTGTTCTTGGGATCATGGACAGCAACACATTGGAAATATTCAAATATGGGGTTCTTGTTGGTCAAGATTGGGTCGTATGGATCTTTTTCAATAAGGTATCCCAACTCCGACACAATCCCAATGGATGTGTGGTCAGGTGGGATGGATGAGTGGCCCCCAGGAGTAGCCAATTCAACGTGAATATCAATATATCCCTTTTCACCCGTACCCGGAGTGGCAATCACTGTATTGGTGAATGGATCAGTAGTCAAACCTGGACCTTCATCAACTACAGCATATATTGAATCTTTACCCAATTTCTCTTCCAAGTATTTGCCAATGGCCGAGGCACCGCGGACTCCAGAAGCTTCCTCATCGAATCCAAATGCCGCAATGACAGTTCTGCTGGGGTTGTAGCCTTGTTTGAGCAAAAGCTCCAAGGTTTCCAAAATTGCAATCAAGACATTCTTACAATCCGATACACCTCTGCCGTAAATATACTCTCCATCGTAGTGACCTTCAAATGGTGGATAAGTCCATTGATCCAAAGAATCCTTTTGGACGGGGACAGTATCTTGATGAGCAGTCAACAAGACTGGCTTGAGGCTCTTCTTTGAGCCTTTCCAAGTGTACACCAACCCATAAGTGTTGACAGTGGTGACATCCAAATTTTCATAAACCAATGGGAACGTAGTTTGCAAGTACTTGTGGAATTTCTTGAATTTTGCCCAAACTTCTGGATCTTCATCCACATCAGGTTGATTGTCAAATATTTGAGTGTCAACTTGAACAGCACCCGATAATCTTTGAATAGACTCTTTTCTATACGTTGAGTCATACAAGATGTTCAACACCGACGAATTGTCTTTGTAATATGAAGCAGGAGCAATTGGGTCCTGCAAGGGGCAAACATTGGAGTCTGGGCCTGGAATTGGAGTGAGTGCAATTTTCAAATAGTTGAACAAATTAGTTGAAAAGAAAACGACTAGCAAAATGACAAATGTCAATCCTCCAATGATAGAGTACTTTCTTCTTTTGTTTGTGGAATCACCGTCCAATGGAAGACCAATCATGATGTATGTTTGATTGACGAAGAAGAAGAAAACGAAGAAAAAGTGAATGAGTTATTCTTGTTGAAGTGGGCTGAGGATTATCGACAATTTTATATTAGTGTGGCTCAAGAGGGTTTCGGCGGGGCAAAGGCAATAGTTAAGAGATTCTATCTCTCGGCTTTCCAAATCTAGTGGTTAGCGACAATCAGAAAAAAAAAAAAAGTGTAAAATTGACTCCGATTTTTCACGCACATAGATCTTAATAAGGAATGATAATTCCGCTTTATTGTTTTGCTAATCTGCTCTTCTCTTTTGTTTTTTTTGGTTGCAAAGCAACACGGAATTAGTCCTAAGATCTGATTGGACGATATGCGAAGGTGGCTTTGCTTGGAAGTGGAAGGGTTTGGAAGTAATTTCATAAGTCAGGGACCGTGCACTGCGTCTATCTAGTGACAAACGTATAGTTAAAGATTTGTTCTTGATCTTCCCAGAAACTAGTAACGTCCTAGACGGTTGTGGCAACATATGATCGACTCTCGGTGAGCTGCCTTGATATGAGCTACTTCTTTTGATCCTCAGTGGTGTGTGCTCAACTTCGATGGAGCATTTTGGGTCACTATCCTCTCTGAGATAGTCTCTCTCGACATGACCGAGTCTGAGTTCTTTCATTCAAGATGCAAGTCGAGGCTAAACCGGCTATTCTTGCGTGGTCCCATACGTTATGTGAACACTCTCTCAAGCTTAGACTAATTCGCATCTTCAGGGGCTGCTTAATCTCATGATATTTTTGAAACTTAAATGGCAAGTCTGGAACTGTTTCATTAAGAAGCTTGTAAGTGCAATGAAGAGAAATGTGAGCTCTACAAGTATTCACCTTAAAACAAGACCAAAAAAAAATGGGCTAGACATTGTATATTCAAAAACAGACTTTGAGGTGAGGATTCCAGGTTGAGGCAGCTTGTGCTGATTTACCATGCTATGAGTATTTAGGGAAGTGGGTCCAGACCGACAACATATTCGACTCATCAGTCGCTTCTCGCAACAGCATACATATCTGATCCATCCACACTGAAGCTCAACTCATTCCCATACGAAACGCAACTCATAGTTTAAAAACGACACAAATATGTACACCGACTACACATGGCCCCTTTCAGATTTGAAAAGCACATTTCGGGCAGGTGTTATGCATGGAGACAAAATTTTGTAGATCAGGGGGGGGAGCCGACCGCAGTCATGTTTCCTTTAATACTCATCGGATCACAAAACTTGATGTCAATCGAAAGATGCTTAACGCTAGATCCTAGTTCATTTCGCCTAGACCTCTTCCAAATGGTTCTGTTGCCCTGCATTGAAATTGAACTAATCTTCATCCGAAGGGACTTGAACAGTTTACCTCATGTTGTATTCCCTTGTTTTTGTCAGTCACCTAAAGCAAGCTCTTTCTTACTAAACCTTACGATGGTTACGAAAGTCAACATGAATAATACGGTACACGAGAAGTTCGTGATCGTCACACGAATTTCATAGCAAAGTAGACAGAAGCCCAAGCCCGGAGTTTATACAAAAAGCAAATGTACAAAAACGTGATTCAGTGGTAAAACATTTCTTTACGGGAAGAACAAGAACAAGAACAAGAAGAAGAAGAAGAAGAAGAGACGACGAGATGAAATGGACACAATAGCTAGTTTCTCTTTGCTGTACAAAATTCCTACGCCTCGTAACTAACCTGACTTGCACCTTTCGTGTCTGTTACGAAAGGGACTAATACAATAGAAATTTGACAAGGCTTTGGCTAGCGTACAATAGTGGAGTCATTTCATGGTCACCGAGACGCTGCTAATATCGAAACACGATCGCGATGCCTTGAACAAATCAACCATGAAACACACCCCATCACTGTCTGTATGCGTAGAGTGTATTTTGAACGGCGATGTGGTCAATCGTTTGCATGCATATGATGTTATCTACGTGTGACGTGCTGATAAATAACCTAAATAAAAGAGGACCAAGTTCATGCAGCTGAAAATCCGTTCTGCCAAAAAAAATAGACGATTTCTACCGGTTTATATCAACCGTTGGTCAGTGCGTGTGTATCTTTGATCTATCGCACACTTGTAGAAGATGTGTATTTCATCAACAGAAAGCTTGGTATAGGATAGCGCATAGTTTTCTTTCACAATAAAAGGAGATATGTAGAAGATTACACAAGAAAACGCGTCTTTTTCATAACATCTACTTATATACAGGATACGCACATTAGAACATCCATACAGCAATACTTTATTCAAAGTATTTAGACGAAAAAAAAAAAAAAACAAATAAAATAAAACACGAAATTTTATAACAAACACAGGTAAACGTAAACATGTAAACATGTAAACATGTAAAATGACACAAACTTTACCATCAACAATATACTCAGACCATAAAGATTTCACGTAAGTCACACGAATTAAACACAACGTAGATAAGGTAGAGCTACCGTAAAAGCTTGAACTTAGTCACTCCATAAAGCAAGGGGAAATCTTGCACTAGGATATGCCACGAGAAGAAGGACCGATGACAGTATGTATACCCGTCCTGAATAGCGTTTGTCGGTTTAACTTCAGACCAGCGATTGAGGGGAACGATTTACGTCATAAGCAGTTTCACGAGCGAATGGCATCACGTTATCATAATACAGGTCTGCATTCAATTATAAGCCCCTTAAATGTATTATTACTTATGAACTATTTACCTTCGGAAGCTGAAAGGAGTTTGCTATTAGATGTTCATTTTAATATGTCAAGTAGGAACTTTTATTACACAGTAGCAACGTCCTATAGTAACTGTTAGTAAGGCTGACCCTTGAGTAGTCTAAGGAGAAGCTGTTTTCTTTTTGCTTGGTGTGTGTTTTATATTTTCTTGATTGCAAAAGAAAAAGAAAAATACAAAAAAGAAAAAAAAAAAAGAAAAAAGAAAAGAAAAGTGACGTTCCGGGAAAACCATGCACAAAATCAATATGCATCACAAAACTATACAACTATACAAAAATGGAGCAAATACAATAAAACCTATACGCGTTAATTTCATGAAACAAGTCAACATTCCTACAACCCTTTGTGCTTACAGGATTAGTTATGAAGCTTTGCTACAACAATAGACTCCCGTGCATACACAATAGATGAAAAACTTAGAGTTGGTTTGGTTTGGTTTAGTTTAGTTTAGTTTAGACGCCACAATTTCTAGTTCTATTGTTTAAATGGTTTGTATCGTCATGGTATGTTGTGTTGATTGCTTTGAAGGTTTTTGATCCTTTTGATTCTCTAATTTCTAAAAGTACATAAACAATTTTTGACGTGGAAAAGTCTATTGCCGCCCTTTAAAAAGTTTTCCTTTTCCTCTACTTCTTCTTCTTCTTCTTCTTCTTATTCCCACCAGATCTTTCACCATTGAATTCCCACTTTTCGTCTTTCCTTAACGATTTAATATAACACCAACTATAGACATTCATTCCTTTTATATTATAGTTTATATTGAATTATCTACGTCAAACCCTGCAAAGAAGATACCCTTATAAGAAAAGTTCAGAAATCTACAATCTACAATCTACAACACCGTGATAAAAAATGCAGTTCAAACCTTTAATCGCTTTGGCAGTTGCCACTTCATTGGCTCAAGCTGCAGCACCACCTTTCCACTTGTACAGGAGATACGAAAATGCTACTGTCGCATCTTCATCATCTGAAGGATCAGCTTCCTCTTTCTCTTCTTCAGCAGAAGGTTCCTACGGATACTCAGCCAGTGTCCTTCCTACTGATCAAGCTGCAGCAGAGTCTTCTTCTCCATCTTCATTATCATCGTCGTCTGATGAATGGATTACCTCAACTATCATTGACTACGTTACTGTTTCCGATGCTTCAACCACTCAAACGTCAGCTACAAACACATGGACTACCACTTATCCAAAATCATCATCCGACGATGACACATCCATCACCTCAACTATTGTTGAATACGTCACCTTGACTTCAGGTAGCTCAACCTACACCTCAGCCACCAACACTGCTGTCACCGTTGTTGCAAACAGCAACAAAGCAGGAAGCTCAAGCGACACTACCACTTCAACCATCACTTCCGTCGTCACCGTGACTGATGGAAATGGTTCAACCAAGCTTTCTACTGAAACCGGTGCTACAACTGAAACTGGAGCTGGCAGTGCAAAACAAACTGTTGCTGCTCAATCAGCTACTGCTCCTGGAAACAACAACGACGCTTGTGTTGCTTCAACTGTTACTGTTACTGTTACCGCTGCTCCAAACACTACCGGAGCACCTGGTGCTGCTGCTTCTACTGCTGGAGACCAAGATTCCACCATTACCATCTCAACTGATGTTTACGTCACTTCATACCCAATTCAAGCTGCCTTCACCAACAGTGACACCACTACAACCATCACATCATGGGTTGATGTTACTCAAACCCAATTACACACTTTTACTTCTTCCTTGAATCACTACAACAATGCCACTTCCACTGGTGCTGTCGCTCCAACTTATGGATCTTCTGCCTACACCAACTCCACTGTTCCAGCAACCAGTGCTTGGTAAAGAGCATAGAGACGCCAGAATGAGCTTTAAAGGCAAAAGCTGTGTTTGACAGTTTACCAATTGGCATGATTATTCTTTGGCTAGTTGGATTACTTGTTTCTTTTTTTTTTTAGCGATTGACGCCAGGTATAAAGTAGTTGCAGTCTGTTTTTTTGATTTGACAATGGTACTTCGTTGTTCAATCGACTCTTCTATAAACTCCCCCCTCCCCCTTTTTTTTTTATTATAACTATTTATATTTTATATACTTTGTTTTTTTGGATACCTGTGCAATTTATACACTTAAACTTTTACTTTGAACAGTTGAAGTAGACTGAGCGTGGTTTTTGAACACTCTGGTTTTCATATTGATGGCAGAATTGTTGCATCCTTCATTTTTGAGGTGTGGCTGTAGAATTGGTCTACAGAGCAGAGCCTCTAACACTTTTGCTCACGAGAGCTCACCCTCTATGCATTTAGAGGGGTATACGCGACACATACACACATTGCACAAAGTGACGCGGTTAATTCCAAGAAAAAGTCAAATCCTTACGAAAATGAGAGAAACAAAAAACACGTAAAGAAAAAAATAAAAGAGAATCACATTAATAAAGGACCAAAGCACTTTTGTTTTACTGTTTACGAATCATCCTCTTGTCTGGCTATTCTGCGTACACAGCCACTCCGAATTAGTTGGTCCATATTCACAACTGCTACATCAAGTTATACTAAAACCCATCATTGAGGTACGATGTCTGCAGATTCGTCACCCTTTAAACCTTCAAACACACCAGTGTTCATTGATGATTCACTTTCACCAGTAAAGTTACCAACGCGGTCGCCAATGAGGCCACCACCATCAGGAATACCACATAGATCATCACAGGTAGGCACTCCATCTACAGCAAAAGTGAGCATTACAAGCCCATTAATGAATGCGGCACAACAGCATATATTGAGACCTCCATTCACTGAAAAGGCCAACAAAACCGCGTTTCTAAACATTGAATCAGCCACTCGTCGCTCAACTCTTGGACCAGTCAAACGGTCATTGTCATCATCAGATCGTCGTCAAACGTTGAACCTCAAACCGCCATCATCGCTAAACAAACCAGCACACACTGCTTCAATAACTTCGCCCTTGCACAAGAAGCGCAAGTCAGCAAACTTGAACAAAATTCAGCAATCCGCCCAGGAAATTGAATTGTACGTGAACCGGTTGAACGAAGACCGCGAGAGGAGGTTGAATCAATCGGGTTATAGATCCAGTATGTCAGAGACCGAGGCATTGAGCTCGCCCATAAAGAGGAGTGCTATAAACCTGCGCCAGTCTATGACACAGCTAAATGAGACCAGTGAAGTAAAGGAGCCTACTGAAGAAAGGCGAAATGAGGTAGCGGGAGGAGAAGGGGAAAATAATGAGGTGTCTGAAGAAGAGGTGGAAGAGCAGGAGGAGCAAGACGAGAAAGTTGTCGTACTTGAAGATGGAGATCCCAACAAGGATAATGATTCCATCGAAAATGTTGAAATTGGAAGAAGAGAAGATATTATAGAAACCGCCAAGGATTTTGAAGCCAACATAGATGATCTGCGGAGAAGAAAGAGGAATCAAGTGCTGACATCAAGACACGGACCAGGTTCCAGTGATAGCGATCTTGAGATTTTGGATACCAACTTTTCGCGTGAGCTAAGTCAAACTTTAACCCACAACCACATGACAAGGTTGATAAATGAGCTGAGAAAGGATAGGTTCTCGACCACGACCCCTGATAGAATGACCGAACCGCAACCACAAAGCCCGCATCCTCATCATGTAAAACCTAGTACTGTTGGCGACGATGATCAGGAAGAAACTGTTTTGAGCCCCTTGAGGCACGATTTGGAAGCTGTTAGTGAATTCTATGTTGATGATCAGGATAACGACAAGTTGGAAGATGAGCCAACCATGAATTTCCTAGATTCTCCAAATTCAAGACCAATGTTCCCATTAACGTATATTGAGAAGTTGCAATCGGAGAATCAAAAAGAATTGTTGCAGTTGAATCAAGAGCTCAGGCAAAAGGAAGCGAGAATCGACGAGTTGAATAAGGAGTTGGGTAAGCAAAGAGAGGTTGAGCATAAATTGCAACATGAACAAGAACTTAGCCAAATTCAATTGAGACAACTTGAGCATAATGTGGCGTCGTTGACGAAACGTAACAAGATTTTTGAGTCGTCAAATTTGAGCTTCAAGCGCAAGTTGATTGATTACAAGATCACCGTTAATGAGGTGGAGGAAGCGAATAACGTTTTGACAGACAAGAATAAAGAATTAGATAACAAATTGAGCAAACTTCAAAATGAACATAGTCAAATGCAAAAAGATCATATTGAGTTTACAATGAAAATGGATGATTATGAGACTGCAAAATTAAGATTATTAGATGAAAAGCAGGAGCTAGTGGAGAAATTGATTGATCTTGAGCAGGAATATGAAAGCAAGATTGATCTCTTGGAGGATAGGGTGAAAGCTATGGAGCAAGCCGATGATGAGCGAGAACGGGAAAATAAAGATCTCAAATCCAAACTCGAAGCTTCTGAGATCAAAGCTGATCAATTGCAGAAGGAGAAGGAGAAATTGCTGATCAAGATCGATGAGAATGAAGGTCTCATTAAGGATTTAGATCACTTAGTTGAAACGGATAAACAAGCTTACGAGAAGGAGATTCAAGAGTTGAAAATGAAACTCGACAGAGAAGTTGCGCTGTTGTCCGACGAATTGCGATTAGTTAAAAACAGCAACGCAGAGTACAAAGAGATGGTCAATGACTTGACTCGAAAACTCGATGCCAAAATTGCCCTGTTTGATAATCTCAAGTTGCAATTTGATCAACAAGCGAATGAATTGGAAAAAGCTGTATCTGAAAAGGATCACCTTGAATACAAACTTGCTCTACTTCAAAATGCTGAGTCGGACAAGAACCGTATCGAATCGGAATTGATTGATTTGAAAAACAAGTATGAGACTGATATATCAACTAAAGAAGACGAGATCTACAACCTTACCACTAAGCACAATCGCGCTCAGAATGAAAACCACCAATTAAAATCAAAATTAACTGAGTTGGAGACCCAACTGGCAACCCAATCACAAATGATTACAGCTAAAGAATCAGATATATCAACCTACAAGGCAGAAATTGACAAATTGCTCAACGCCATAACGACTCTCAATCAAGAGGTTGCCACAAAAGACTCCCAAGTGGCACAATTACGTAAAGATGTGGCGACTTTGAAATTTAACCATGAGCAAGATCTCAAGACCCAAGAGGACAAGTTGGTCAAGTATTTGCATCAGGAATATGCTCAAAAGCACATGACGAAGATGAATGAGTTGAAATTGTATTATGAGCAGGAAAGGAAGAATTTGGAACTGAATATAAAGAAGTTGACTCGGGATCATGATTTTGTGCTGAAGAATGCTGAAACTTGGCGACAAAAGTATAATGAGTTGTTGCGGGAGAAGGCGGAGCGGAGTGAAGTGTAAAGTGGGAGCTGACTGTTTAGAAAGTAGAAATGATTAATGAATGCATGTTTAGGAGACTGATCTGTGACGTGATTTTATCCAAAGAGATGTACATTGAACGGAACTTACAGTATACACTCTAGTTGTCACTGTAATCGACTATGAATACGAATTGAAAAAGACAACCCACCTGGCTGCAAACAAAAAAAGAAGGAGACAAACAAGGTCCTCAACAACAACCGCTTCTACTAAGAGATCATGATTTATCATGTTGATGCGACATCATCACCTCGATGTTCGAAACTTGATTCGACAACTCATACACCAAATCATCCTTGTGTTGTTCTCTTTCTTCAATATCCACATACTCTTTCCTCCCCCTAATCATCCAATCACAAAAACATATGATAAACACCACTCCAAACACCGCCGACGAATAATTCATATTGCCACCAGTGACAGGCATGACTGAAGGAAAGTTGTAAAACACAGTGGCGAAAATCGCCCATGCCACAAGCACCACATTGCAAATCAACCCAATACCAAACCTATTCAACCAAAACGGTCCATGCTTGATTTCATTTCTTTTGAAAATGAGACATACGGTAGGGATCATGTATGACAACAAGAGGAACACGACACACGACACGAGGATGGAGTTGAATGCTGTTGACGAGCCCAAGTAGATGCATCCAATAACCGCGACCCAGAAACACGACATGATGTGCGCATTCACCATGGTGCCGGTATTGGGGTTGATTTTGGCCCAGTATTTCGATAAGGGCAACCCGTTATCTCTGGAGAAACTCCAACATATCCTCGCTTGCCACGTATGACACCCGATGTTGCATCCAATGGCGGTGAGCAAGATCAAGATCTCCAAGCCCAATGCGGCTGCTTTGGACTCGGTGGCTTGATGGAAGATGTCCATGATGGGGACACCGGTGTTTGAGGACAATATGTCGTCCAAGTTTCGAATGCAAAAGAAGATGGCAATGCAGTAGGAAAACGCAGTGATGAACCCAACGATTACTGTGCCGATTATGGCTTGTGGGATTTGGACTGCTGGGTTCAATGATTCTTCAGCAATGTGGGTTGCTGCGTCAAGACATGAAAAACTCCAGTTTGGATTAATGAGTCCGACAATGAAGGCAATTCCAGCTGAGTTCCATCCGGTACCGTTATTGAATTCAACAAAGACAAATTTGGCAGTGGCAAATTCTCCCTTGTACATGGCCAACACGGTGATGATGATGATAATAAATGAAGCAAGGGAAATGTACAACGTTCCCGAGCAGATTGCTGGCAAGGGTCCTTCATAAATGTTGCAAAACGCCATGAGGATATTGAATACTTCGTAAACGATAAACACTTGCCATCTCTGTACTGTTGTTTCGGGATGAAATAGGGCATACATTCCGGTAATCGCTGTGGCTATGGTGATTGTGACACTGGCTGACGTGAAGACGGATCCTACCCATGATAATATACCCGTGGTGTAGGCCAACACACGAGAGTATCTGTGTGGTGCCAATTTCATTGTCCAGTATATTTGACCTGAAGCGTTGGGGTAAGCTGATGCCAACTCGCTCAAAGTGACTGCGATGCACATGGCCGTGCTTGCCACGATGATGATACCGTAAATGATCATCATGGGTCCACCAGAGTTGATCCCAGCCTAGAAGAAGAAGAAGAAGAAGAGTTAGTAAATAAAACGTCACTCATAAAGATGAAATATTTCTTCAACATACAATCAATGAACCTAGACAGGAAAAGTTAGTAAACTGAATACCTCTTTGGAAAAATGCCCAGTTTTTGTTTGTACATACCACTGATACCAAACCAAGAGTTTGTGATACCAAATCCAACCCCCAACAACGAAATCAAGCTGAAATTTCTTCTCAACTCGGGTGCATACCCAGTATCAGTTGAAAACTCCAAGTTTGCTTGAGCTTCCTGCAACAACCTGGCGGCCTCTTTTTCGTTCGTTGCAGCTCCATTGCTCATTGCTATTGCGTCCAAGTTTCTCACATTTGTTGGTTGTTGAGTCAATCTGTTGGATAGAATGGTGTTGATGATTTCTCCATGGTCGACGCTTTGTCTTTGCTGATGAGGCAGGGAAGACTCTTTCTTTTCAATTGAGTCTGACATGAGTGCTTGGTTTTGGGAATGGGGAGGAAGTTGTTTCAACGGTGCGTCAATTAATAATAGCGGGCTTGGTTGCTGATATATATAACCAGTGTATTAAGGAACCAAGAGTCGTATATATGCAACGTTCTTGTCAATCGAGGGGCGTTTTTCATTATCGTTTTTGGTGCTTGATTGCAGGCTGAAACAGCATCTCGGTTATCTCTTTTCACTTAATGAGGCTTATCTGAAGTTGCAATTTTTCAGCGGTGCTAATATATTCTCAATGGAAATCTCTCCAACTTTTACCCGATTTGTTCAAAAATATCAGAGTGTTACACAAAAGAGTAACGTTATTCACTCTTATCTAAATTAAAACCGTCAATTTACAGATAACAATAAACCACTAAGGCAGTTGACCACACCCACTTTATGTTGTTAACTTGTACGTTTATGTCAAAGAGTGAGCTATAATTGAGGCAATTTCAAAGTACATCCGCGTGATTACTTTCTTAGTCCATGTTCATTATAATTCGAATAAAACCACTACCAACAACAGGGAAAAAAAATGTCCTAAAGCATAAGTGTGTACGACGAAGGCATGGGACGTGTTGGTTCCATAATAATAATAATATTCAATAGCTTCAAACTCCACTCCACCTACATTCATACACAACAAATTACAAAAATTACAAAAATTACAAAAATTACAAAAATTACAAAAATTACAAAAATTACAAAAATTACAAAAATTACAAAAATTTATTTTTGTCCTCTGCATAAAAACATAAATCGTGCCTATGTCCACCAACCCATCACGAATCAACATAAACCTTCTTCTTCTTGGTAACTCTACCCCTCGGCAACATCTCAACATCTCTTGACCTCAACCACATCCAAATCTTGCGTCCACTCAAGCCAAACTCATCATACAAAATCAAACTCCACTTGCCAATGTATTCATCGTACTGGCACACACCACTCCACACTTGTTTATCATCGCCCTTGTATCTTTGATAAGTCAGCGTTCCTTCGTCTAAGCATGGGTCGCTGATTAATTGACGAGAGTCATGCTGGATGGACTCGAGAAAAATGGTGAATTGAGCAACGTCGTTATCAGGGGTATCTTTGTTACTACCATTCCCATGCCTCCCATTCACACTACCACTACCATGAGATAGCTTACTTTTGGACTCTTGCTTCCTTTGCTTCCTTTGCGTCTTTTGGGTCTTTTGGGTCTTTTGCTCCTTATGAGGCTCGATTCTAAACTTACCATGATGCCAAACCAACTGCGCAGAAGGACAAGAATGGTTCCGCGCATTGGCAAACACGAGATACTGCGCAGTTTCATACGTCATTGTCGCCATGTCAAAAGAATACGAGATTCCCGGCACTTGGGGTTCAATTAGGTATTCGATACCGGGTTGGAAAAATTGTGGGCCGGTTATAACTGATTGACTTTGTGTTTGCCATGTGCCGTGAATGTTTGGTGGTTGGAATTTGACATGTTTTGTTGATGTTTGGGATAGGAGACTGATGAAGAGGAGTGTGACGTGGAACATGATTCACTGTGGGACGTGTAGGGGGGTGTGGATGGAGGGGCATTGTAACAAGCTCTATGACGTTTGTGCATGATCTGGATCTTCATCTAAATTTAAACCATCTCGAGAGAATTTTAGGAATGTATACCAAACATTTTTTTTGCAACCTTTTTCCTAAAACACAGAACTGAATCAAAGAAAAAACTTTATACCTTCACTTTTTTATATTTTTTGTAAAAAGACAAACTCTAAATACCTATATAAGTTATATATATATATATATTTGTATATATATCTCAGCAACGTAGAATGAAAACCAAGACAGTGTTTGCTGCCTGCTAAACTTTTTTTTTTTTTTGTTTTGCTTCTCCGAATAACTTTTAATCAAAGTTACAGTTGATGTCATACTTCAACTTGTTGTTGGCATCCCAAACACCCCAGTGCTTTTCAACATCGGAAATGCCTGAAGTGTCTGGCTTCCAAGCTTCATCAATAGCCTCGAATACAGCAACATTGACACCCCAGCCTCTCATGGCACAGATGGCGTTTTGCCAAAAGTTTTTGGCGTTTTCGACACCTGGTTGAGAGCTTTCAAAGTTTGATCCGTCAGTTGGCCATCCGGTTTCGCCAACCCAGAATTCGATGTCGGTGGATCCTTTAACAGTTTGGATGGTTTGCAATGCTTGCATGATGTCATCAAAGAAGGAGTATGAAGCATTTTGGTTGGTTTGTCCTTGCCAGTAAGAGAAGGCGTTTGCATAGACAACATCTGCGGTTTGGATAGCTGGCTTGGATCCACCATCAACCAAGACATTCCATGAATCAACAGTTCCTACTGGAACACCTTCATACGAGTTTCCATTCTTGTCCTTGATTCCTTTAACAAGGTCCTTGATTTCATTGATTTTCTCAGACAATTGATCAGCAGTCAAGTCGTTTCTGTAAAGGGCTTCTGAACCAACAAGGAAAATCTTGATTGTTGAGGTTGAGATTTGGGTCAAGTATTGTTGCAATGCTGACTTCTCTGCTTGGAAATGAGCATCATCGGTTGGCCAAATACCCAACATGATTTGAAAACCTTCAGCTTCAGCTGCTGGACCCAAGTTTTGCAAAGTGTTGCAATCGGAGACTGCATAGGTTTTGATGATTGAAGATGAACCTTTGATTGTTTCCAAATCGGATTTGAATTCATCAACAGTTTTACAGTTTCCCGAGTTATCCTTGACACCCAAGTTGAATGCAAGCTAGATATACTTTTTGTTAGTATTGAGAACGACTGGATAAGACAAAGTCTACTATTGCAGTTGCAGTTGCAGTTGCAGTTGCAGTTATTGTTTATACATACGTCACCAATGGCATTGGCAGTGGCAAGACCTGCTACTAAAGCTGACAATAATTTAAATTGCATTATTTATGAGTAACGATGGGAGCGAGTGTGGGGTATTTGGGTGTTTGTTGTTGTAGTTGTTGTTGTTGGGGTATCAGTATGGGTGAACTCAGTCCTTGAAGAATGTTGAAAAAGAAAGGGTTCAAAAAGTGAAGGGTTGCAAGATTTTTTCTTCTCTTGTTAATATTATTACTATTATTACTATTATTACTATTGTTGTTGTTGTTGATTTTTTTTTTTCTTTTTCTTTTCAATTGCGGTTTATTTGTTTCTCTTTCTTTCTCTCTGTGCTATGCTATGCTGTTTCTGTCTGGGCAGATCGGGTGAGAAGTTTTTATTTTTTTATTGATTTATTTATTTTTCTTTTGGTTGTTTATTGTTGTTGGATTGTCCAATTGTACACTACCCTAATACATATGTTTGTGGTTTATATACAGGATAATTGCCTATTTAAGACATTTGTCGGATCAAAAGGGGAATTTACAAACAACAAACAACAAACAGACAGACAGACAGACAGACAGACTGAAATAGCCGACACACATTATTAGTTCTAGATTTGCTTCTTATAGATACACACTCACATTCATATTCCATGTATTCACCGCCCCAATGTTACGTCTCAAACAGTACAGCTTTACACTACTAACCCTTTTGGGAAAGCTTGCGTCTACATACAAATAACTTTCTTTTCTGACGTTTAATTCTCGGTTTCAGAACCAAAAGTGGCACCACATATCATATCAAAACATCATCAACCACTACACTTTGATCTCTAAAGTAATAGCCCTCCCTCTACCTCCTTTCTATTGTTGTAATCTCGTCAACGCAATCAAAATTGCGTCTTCTATTTTGCAACCGTTGGGAATGTCCAACCTATAATCAAACAACTTGACCACACTCTCCAACCCTTCAAACATCTCTTCCTTAGCCTCATCACACTCGAAATTTCGTTGAATTGTACCCAAGTTACCCAAAATCATCAACACATTCACATTCGTTCCCCCACTCTCTTCACTCTTCTTCTTCTTCTTCTCGTACGTCGGCACACCCTGCTCCTGCAATAGCTGATTCCACTTGTCAAAATAATCATCACAATTGACAAATATCGTCTCACTGTACCCATCAACCAAGGGAGAGTTCGTAAACAATTTATTAAACTGGACATCATTCACCATTCGCACATGATATCCAAACGACAGTCTGTGTCCATGGACGCCATATGCCAGTTTTGCACTGACGATAGTCTTGTTTCGCACATCAACAGTGACTCGTGAATACACTGGCAACTCTCTAGCTATGTCCAACTTCATCGCTTCCGATTCACCAATATTGACATATTTGCTGACTGTCACCTTGTGAGGAGATGGCACCAATTTGTTCTTGTTGGATTTCGATTTGGTCTTGATCTTGGGTGTGGCTCGTGGGATAATCACCCCTTCTTTGAAATGTTCATGGACATTGTTGTTTTGCATAAATGGTAAACTGGGGATCTTGGGTAATTTAGAAGCATATTTGAATTTAGACAATATGGTGGCGAATTTGGGGTTCAACCGCGGCAGAAACATGGTTTTGGTCAAGTATGGAGGAGTTATGAAGAATTGTAATAGACTGGCTAATAACAATGCATCATCAATCTCATTGCTGAGAGTGCCGTTGTTGTTGTTGGTAACCACATGGAGTTGATTATCCAACTCTGATGTCATTGCAACGGGCTCTTGGGTAACTTCAGGAGCTGAGCTGAGATCAACTTTGGTATCGTCATCCTCTTCACTGAAAACGACCTTCTTTCCAACACCAGGGCCAGAAACCACCACTTCTGTCTTTGCGACACCATCATGATTCTTCTCAGTGTCCTTCTCTTTACCCACAATCTCAACTCCCTTCTCAACTTGCTTCAAAACAACAATTTCAGCAACGTCATAAATCAAACACGCCTTCGCTATCTGATACGCAATCATGGTCTTCTGTTGTAGATTGTATGCATTCTTGGCCGATATTACACTTGATGGTATACATATTGAAATTGACTGGTGAGGTTGCTGTTTTGTTGGTTTCTTGGTTGTTTTTACCTCTGGTGAGGCAGCTCCACCATCAATTTTCCTTTTAGACATGAGCGTGAGCTATGTTGATGAAGTGATTTACGTGGGAGGGGGGAGGGGGGGGAAGTGGCTTTCCTATTCTGTACAAATTGAATTTTCCAGATGCTCATCAGGCAAAAAAAAAAATCTACGCTACCACAACTTCTTGCAACTTTCTTTTTTTTTTTTTTTTCCACCTCACTTATTACACTGTGTTTCTGAACTTCTATGAAAATGCTATTATATACTGACATTAAAAACTATGACTGTAATTATATACTTTCGTTTGGGACTGATGCTCTACTAACTAAATTCTAGCTTCTCTTATTATTTTTACTTTTTATTTTTTTTCTTTTTTTTCTCCCTCCCGCAAACTCATCTAATTTTGGTCTTCTTCCTCATCATCTTGCTCCTCATCCTCAAAATCGTCTTCCTTAAACTTGGCAATCTTAGCCTTGGCCCTTTCAATATTAACCTTTGTCTGTTCTTCTTGCTTCTCTTGCAATGCATCCAAGGTTTCCTTCAAAGTCTTGATAGTTTCAGGAACATTCTCCTCCTTCAATGGATAAGGAATGGTCAAATCACTCAATGCAACAATGATTTCGGGTGCAACGGTGAAATTCTTTTTACCACTATGCTTTTTAGCATTCTTGCCCTTCTTCTTGGTTCCAGTAAAGAAATCATCTTGTTCCTTCTTGACAACAACCAAGTCTTCGGGAAACTCAATGACTCTAGCTTGGTTCTTGGTGGTTGATGGGATTGATGATCCATTGGATGAAAGTGATGCGTTGTTGGCAGTGGCGGCGTTGGTGGTGGCTGGCTTGACATAAGATGGATCAAAGTAGGACAACAAGTTGTGGATAGAGTTGATTTCGGCAGTGAATGCAGGGATGGAAGCATCGGCCAATTCTTGTTCGGCTCTTTGTTTCAACTTAGCTTGCTTTCTCTCAGCTTGTTGAGCCTTGTACTCTTCTTCCCTCTTTTGTCTTTCTTCTTCCATTTGCTTTTTGAAGTGTTCAAACTTGGCGTCAAAATCACTTCTCAATTTTCTAATTTGATCATATTTGGCATCTTTTTCCTTTTTGATTTCTGATCTCTGATCATAAATTTTGTTTCTCTTGGATATGGTTGATTTGTTAGACTCATTAATTTCATCCAATTTCTTTTGAATGGTTTCAAATTGAGCTTGGACTTCCTTATTATGAGTTCCTTGCAACTTCTTCTTCAAATCAGCAATCTTTTCCTTATCTTGATCAATTGAAGCTTGAATTTTTTCAATTGATCCGAAATCTTTACGCAATTTACGCAAAGCACTCATTTCCTTGACAAATCTTCTCTCATCAGCCAACTTCAAGTTTCCTGCGTCAATGGCCTTATCCAACGAATCAATTCTGGCGTCGATTTCAGCAACGTTTTTGAAATTGTTCTTGGAGGTTTGTTGTTGAATTTCAGCAATCTTCTTCTTCATTGAAGAATCAATAGACTTGATTTGTTCGTTGATATTGTTTCTCTCATTCTTGGCGGACGATTGTTTGGAAATTAAAGTCTTTAACTCAGCTTGCAACTTGTTTCTTTCATCCATGACTTTTTGATCAATTTGTAATTTCTGGATTTGTGCATTCAATTCGTTATTGGTCAAATCCAATTTCTTGATCTCCTTCTTCAAAGCTTCAACTTCTTCCTTCATGGCTTTGTCATCTGGACGTTTGATGAACTTTCTTTGAGTGGAAGAAGACGAGGATGATGGGGGAGTGGTTGCATTAGTAGCAGTGGTGGTGGAAGTTGAACCAGCAGACATTTTCTTGGTAGTAAAAACAGGGCAAAAAAAAAGGGTCGTGAACGGGGGGGGGTAAGGGGGGAAGGATAAGGCAAATCTAATTCAAATCAAGTAGATTAGAAGACAAACAAACAAAAGGTTATAGTTGGACCCTTTAGTAGCTCAGTACTAATTGTGAAATTGTAGAATTAATCTGTAAAGATCAAAAGGACTGATTTTATTTGTTACGTGGAAAAAGATACATATTTGTTGAAAAATTTTTAGAAAACCGAAGGCAATATAAAGTACTGCATATAACACGAGCGATAGAGTAAATTTGATTGACAGGTAATATAATTGGACTTGCTGGAAAGAAGTAGTACACCAACTTTCAAGCACTTGCAACTGATACAAACAAGGTGTAATGATGCTTCTTTTTTGAGTATTAAGAAAGGTACGATAGCTTTGAGTTTCAGACTTTCCGACGCGGTAAGAAGGGGAGGGGGGGGAAACTGATTTCCGAATCGTTTGTTTAAAGGGGACCCGTGATTACTAGTACCAAAATATAGAAACGGGAGTTTCCCAAAGGATTACCTTTGCCTGTGGGGTGTTTCGTATATGATCTCGTTGTCTCTCGTATACAAGGCTAATGGTTACCGAGTTTATCATGTTAAACGAGATTGACACAGAAACGTTAACTAATGCTACCATGTCAATTTAATTTTTGTTTTCAATTTTTTTTTACGTTTCTTTTCTTCCATCTTCGTATTATCTTTTGAGTCCAAAGTTAAGTCAAACCTCAAAGGAGTGCAAAACTTATCAACACTGGTCCTTTCACCACAAGAGCAGACAGTGAAATATACATCACACTTGGCACACAGCTTAGCATATATTTTGTTTTTTTCCACAATCATGTCTCCTTCATCTTCATCTTCACCAACTGCAGCATCACCAGCAGCATCACCAGCAGCAGCATCCTCAGAGTACGCTAAATTGGTAGCCAGTCTCTCACCTGAGGAAATATTAACGAAATGGTCTGAAATTACTCCTTTGAAGAAGATTTCTGGTATTCCTAGATCAGCCGGGTCTGACTCATCATCGAACACCGCTAGTCAAGACTCTGATTTATTTACTGGCCATGATGAAGAACAAATTAGACTAATGGAAGAATTGTGCATCATATTAGATTACAATGATAAGCCACTTGGTGCAGGAACCAAGAAGTTGTGTCACATTATGGACAATATCAATCAAGGTTTATTACATCGTGCATTTTCAGTGTTTTTGTTTAATGAAGACGGTAAACTCTTGTTGCAACAACGTGCTGATGAAAAAATTACTTTCCCTGCCATGTGGACAAACACTTGTTGTTCACATCCATTATGTGTACCTAGTGAATTAGGCATAAACACCAACACCAACACCAACACCAGCAGCAGCAGCAGCACCACCACTAATACTACTGCATCTAATGATGTCAACGATTTGGCTACCGCCGTTGAAGGCGCCAAAGTTGCAGCACAAAGAAAATTGGACCACGAGTTGGGTATCCCATTGACAGGTGTCCCTATTGAAAACTTTACTTATTTGACGAGAATCCATTACAAAGCACCTAGTGGGGATGAACGAAGTCCATGGGGTGAACATGAGATCGATTACATTTTGATTTTGAAAACCAAGAATGACATAACATTGAATGCTAATCACAATGAGGTTAAGGACTACAAGTATGTGAGTGCTGAAGAATTGAATCAAATGTTTGAAGACAAAACCTTGGTGTTCACACCATGGTTTAAATTGATTTGCAAGACCTTTTTGTTCAAATGGTGGTCTAATTTGGACAGCTTGTCACAATTCAAAGATGATGAAATACACCGTTTACTATAGATTACAAATAGGAACGCTCCCTTTTCTTTTTACAGATGACTTCGTGTAAAAAACTTTTTGCTGTAGCAGTAGTTTAAGTCTTGTATGTTTAACAGAGTCAATTTGTATATCTCACCGGGGTTCTTGACTTCTAATCGAAAAGAAAAAACAAAATCTTTTTCTCAACAGAAAATCTCCATCGAAAGACCAAATCCACAGTACTCCGAAAATACAAAGATTACAATTAACAGGATAATATTCACACGAAAGCACCAACTTTCTCCAGTATGATATCAAGAAATGTTTCCAAAGCTTCAAATTTGCGTCTTTCGACAACCAACACTGTGAGATTACTAGCCACTGACGCTTCGTCAGCATCGGCATCTACTACCGAGACAACCACAATAAAACAACCAAAGAGAAAGCGTACTTTCTTCACCGACAAGCTCAACACCGGTCCATCATTCGACGATTTCGTCAGTGGTAAGGCCAAAGATATGCTTGAAGATCCATTAGAATTGGCAAGAAAAGACCCCAATGCCAAATTGCCAAGCTGGTTGAAAGTCCCCATTCCCAAAGGTAAATCCTTCCATAACGTGAAGAAAGATGTTCGTGAATTGAAGCTTTCAACCGTTTGTGAAGAAGCCAAGTGCCCCAATATAGGTGAATGTTGGGGTGGTAAAAAATCCGAAGCTACTGCCACAATCATGTTGTTGGGAGATACATGCACTAGAGGATGTAGGTTTTGCTCAGTGAAGACTAGTCGAGCTCCAGGTAAACCCGATCCAATGGAGCCAGAAAACACAGCTGAAGCTATTAGTCGATGGGGGTTGGGATACGTTGTGTTGACTACTGTGGATAGAGATGATTTGATTGATGGTGGTGCTCATCATTTGCGGGAAACAGTTGAAAAGATAAAATTGAAAGCTCCACAAATACTAGTTGAAGTTTTGGGCGGTGATTTCAGGGGTGATTTGGAAATGGTTAAGGTTTTGGCGGGGTCGGGATTGGATGTGTATGCGCACAATATGGAAACGGTGGAGGCATTAACACCACATATTAGAGACAGGAGAGCAACTTACCAACAATCATTGGCAGTGTTAAGGACGGCGAAGGAAACGAAACCATCATTGATTACAAAAACGTCGTTGATGTTGGGATTTGGAGAGACTGATGAACAAATTGTGGCCACTTTGAAGGACCTACGTGGAATTGGATGTGATGTGGTGACATTTGGTCAATACATGAGACCCACAAAGAGACACATGAAGGTAGTGGAGTATGTGACACCGGAAAAGTTTGATTACTGGAGAGACGTGGCATTAGAAATGGGGTTCCTTTACGTTGCTAGTGGACCATTGGTTAGATCTTCATACAAGGCAGGTGAAGCATTCATTGAAAATGTATTGAAGAAGAGGAGACACAACGTTGGAGAAGCTCCAAGGATGCTGTTGCAAGAGGTGAAACCTAGTATCTTCCGTAGATCATAAAAGGAGATTGAGAATAATGCGAAGTCGAGTTGTGTGTATATTCAGTTCAAAGGAGTTAAAATTAACAAACGCGAAATTTGGACTTGGAGTAACAAAAAACACTCTTTGTCATATATATATATATATAGCAATCATTGGAGAATGTTACATGAGAGATAAAGTCAATACGTGCCCCTTGAATGTAAGCCAACATCTAAACTGCTGAGAGTCTTACACTTTAACCTCTTGGATCACAATGATATTGTTTAAACACGCTTGTCAAATACACCTGTCAAATGCAATTGGTGTTCTGTTCCTCCGCATCTGAAGTTTTTTTTTTGTGTAATTAAAGAACATTGAATCATTTTTTTGTTTGCGAAAGTGCATTGTAATTCTTGTTGGAAGCAGTCGAAAGTAGAGGATATATCAGAGCAAAAGTCTTTTCACATAGATCCTTCCTTCTTGCAAATTATCATCCTTGAGTTCACGACAAAGCGGTCTCGACATAAAAAGGGAGAAATAGCACCATAATAACTCGATTCCCGATGTCACGTCAAATGAAAGCCCCCCTTCAGCGAAATGATAGCGAGGATTCATTAATTGAAGCGTTTGAAACCACCTTGACAATCAAACCAAGTACCACTGAGTATGAAGATAATGACATATCCATCGACCATACCGTGTTGCCCAACTCAACCGTCAACTATACTCGAGATACGGCGAGTATGGTGGATATTGAAGAGTTGGAGGAGAATGAACGACTTGAAGAGCAAATACCGAAATTTAAAACCAACAGAAGATACAGTTTACTTCCGACAAAGACCGCATTCAAGAAAATTGGGTCACCTGGGTTGGAAGAATACTATGTTGAGCAAAAACTTGATCCAAAATTTCATGACATTTTGAAACCCAGTGCACTCATTGATGAAAAGTTGACCAAGTATCATCACACGTTTAGTGATTTTATTGCATCAAATCCACATATTCATAAAGAGTCACCTCGTTTTCAGCGTAGTTCCGAAAAGACATTGGTCATATTGTCTCCGTATAGTCCCGAACATGCATTTGGAAGAAAATGGGTAACAAAGTCATACTTGTCAACGATTTTCGAACGACCTCAACGTTTACTTGCAAGTTGCATCGGAGTAGCCTCGGCAATCACAATGTACCCGTTCTACTACAAATTGATCAACTCAACGAAAAGAAGTTCCATCTTTGCATCACATGTAAGGAAAATCCATGGACGAAATTGGCCCAAAAAGTTGTTTGAACTATGCTTGGAAAGCCACGAAAAGTTGACTAATGATGAGATTGAAGTTCCCGAGGATTGGAATACTGGTGATATCTATCTTACGCCAAAGACTATAAATGCGATCGAAGGAGTAATTGGCACCATTGAAACTGCTGTTGATAGTTTATTCAAGGCCCTGTCACCATCGCCTCGTGCTAGTATCGAGACATCAACGTCATCGTCGACCAATCATGATTTAGCGTTTGTGGTGATACGCCCACCGGGGCATCACAGTCATGCTTGTCTACCCAGTGGTTTTTGTTTACTAAACAATGTACAAATTGGGATAGAATATGCATTTGAAACATATGGTGTGACCCATTGTGCCATATTGGATATTGATTTGCATCATGGAGATGGCTCACAAGATATCTGTTGGGAAAGAGCTGGCTTTACAGGAGATTATGGACAACAAGCTGAAGACGAAGTTGATGACCCATCGTTGAATCCTCGTAATGAGTATGGTAAAAGGTTTGCTACGTTCCCTAAAGTCGGGTATTTCTCACTTCATGATGTCAAGTCATACCCCACTGAGTTGGGATTTGCCACAAAGGAAAATATCAAGAATGCATCCACGTGTATAATGGACCATGATTTGAATATTTGGAATGTTCATTTGCAAAATTGGAATACTGAAGATGAGTTTTATAAACATTATCAAACGAAGTACGTGGCGATTTTAAACCGTGCCAATCAATTTTTGAACCAATCTCAAAAACAACATGAACAAGAGTACGAAGAGTACTTGACTCAGTTGAGCAAGTACAACAAGTACTTGCAAAAACCACATCTCTACCCAGCATCATCCAACCCCAAAGCGGAAAAACCAACACCACCACCAGCTTACAAACCATTGATCATTATATCAGCTGGGTTTGATGCTTCCGAATACGAGGATCCTCAAATGCAGCGACATGGCATTAATGTCCCCACATCATTTTATGCAACATTCACCAAGGATGTGGTTAAGTTGGCCAAAATCCACACCGAGGGAAAGGTGATTTCATTTCTTGAAGGGGGATATAGTGATGGGGCTTTAACAACGGGGATTTTTTCACACCTTATTGGATTGAACAATGACGACGACCTCTTATGGAATCAAACATGGGGATCAGAACAAGTTGTTAAGGAATTAGTTAAAGGATGCAAGAAGAACTGGACTCCCTATAAGAACCCCAAGAGCGACATCACTGTTTGGGCCAATGAAGTTATTAAATTGGGGAGATCGATGATGCCTAATGCAATATTACCGGCAAATTACATATATCGAGACCAGTCTAAGGAGAAAGATAGTATCAATGGGAAGCCCATTAATCGAATGGTGAAGGATCTTTTGGATGGTGGAGTTGGTGTTATTGATTCTCCAAAGGGGAAAAAGACTGATGATCGTGACGATTTTAAAAAGCCAGTTAGACATACTAGATCTTATTATAAAACAGTTTAATTTAGCACAATATAGAAGTATTTTAGAGGGAAACACAATGAGGCGAGTGAAAACCAGTTGTTGCAAAAATATAAGCGGCTGACGAGAGAGGCTGACAACATGCGCTACCAATACCCCCCCCCTTGAATAAAACCTTAAAGCTTGAAGGGTCCGACATTCTTGTGACTTTTAAAGTGAGGAAAAAAATGGACAGATAAGATTGTTGTGCCTTTAAGAAGGGCAATTTGTTACCTCTTACATTCATTTCTAGTGGGTTGGTGCAATGAAGAGTTGGTAATGTGTTAAGTGCTTGATTGAAACTCAATTCTCTTAGTGAGTCATTTCCTAAAACGGAAATTAATAAGTTTATTTGAAAAGAAAGTTTTATCAAAATTATGGTCTGTTTTTATATTACAAGGGTGGTGGAGTTGATAGATATGCCCACACAAACATACGTTCATGCACTTGCAAACAAAACCCCATTCATAACTAATAGATATCGTATATGAAGTGATGGTCTTCTGATGTTATCCTCTTTCAATCCTGTATATAATAACGTAAGCGAATTTTGTTTTTCTTTTTTTTTTTAAAATTACGCACACACACTATACACACAACACACAACACATACAAAACAAAGTGCACAGACACTTACCCCACGAATAAGGCAAGTGTTATTCACCGCTTTAAGAGGGAGTTTACAATAAAACATAGCTACTCCGTGGCAGAAGGGATAACAGGTGGAAGTTTATTGCTGTGGTGATCAATAATGCAGACACTAAACAGTCCTTACATTCCAACTTTGGAGAACAACAAGACCAGACAACAACATCCCCAAACGACATCATCAACAACACTTTCAAAAGGAAGCGAGACCCCACACCCAGAGTATCCACCATCAGATCCGCGCTTCGATCGAACAGCACTCTCAGATGAAGAGTTTATTGGACAATTGTTGTTTGAAAGCCAGGAGCTAAAAAGTACAATTGAATCGCAGCTGAAGTTGATTGACAAACTACAACAACAGTTGAGAAGTCATAATATCACCCCACACGTGCCTGAAACAGCAAATAGCAATGGCTCTTTGGAAAAAGAGGGGACAACAATTCGCAAAAAGGGTTCGTTTAGGGTAATGAAACCGGAATATTCTTCAGTTACCAGCAATGCTGACTCAACTCGTCAAACATCTACTTCTAATGTTAATAACTTACCCGTGAATAAAACCACTGACAGCTTGACCAATTTGCTGCTTGAACAGCACGATGATGACAAGTTGTCAAAAGCAGAAGACAGACGTGCACAACCCGAGACAGATTCTCCTTACGAAGTTCCTATGAGGTCTGCCCGCAGAAGACGCATCAAGGATGAAACTTCCAAGGAGCTACAGGAGACCGTGGTATCTCCAGTTGTGGACTCGTTCGACTCGTCCGAACGCGTAACTTCTGAGGACAAGAATGATTCAACATCGTCAAACAAGGGTGGAGACGTCGATAAGACACAGGAATTGGAAGAGGTTTCTCTGGAGGGCTCCAAAAGCGTACAACTGGATGACATGTCAGTCAATGCTTCTGGGCTGGATCACACAAAAAGCACTGCCAATATTACAGAGCCCGTGGGTGAAAATGCATTACAAAGTCAAGAAATGAAGCCTACTGGTTCGGTAACCTCAATTAATGACACGAGCAATGCAGCGTCATCTCAATTGTACACTCAAAACAGTAAACAAAGGAGAAGTACTAGTAGTGTTGCATCCACGTACAAATCTTCCAGGATTAAACCACCTGGGTCTCAGCGCGTATTATCAAATTCAAAGAGTAGTGCTGAGTTGAAGCCACCACCATTGCCTTTAAAACAGCCACACCATGCGAGTAATGGATCTCCAGGCAACATGTCATTATACAATACCCCACCTAACATTACGGCTCCTACGTTTACAGGCAATGAGGGTCCGCTATCACCAGATTTGGACAACGAAAGCAAGACGGAATCGTTTTCTTCAGCTAAAGTGAGGATTGATGATGATGAACTCCCCTTGAGACCGGAATTGAGTATTTCATCTTCTCGCAATGTGCTGAACCAAGAACTATCCACACCCCACAGAGACACTTCCCAACAACAAAATATCACAAGGCCTGCTTTTCAAACACCAACTTCTTCTGCACAAAACGTACATCTTTCGAGTCCACAAACTCCAGGATCCAGTTTCAGTGTTTTGCACACACCAAAGATGGAAATGGATGAGTCTGCATTGTTTATAAAGCCTGAGGAATTTCACACGATATTTATCAAAGTTGTCAGCACGATCCACGTCACGTCGTCCACTGTTCAAAACCCGGCAAAGAAGGCAGAAGAGCCAAAGATTACGATGACCATCAATGACAGAGAAACCAATAAGGAAATGTGGCGGATTCGTAAAACCCATGCCCAATTGACAGCATTTGATCATGATATTAGGCCCATAGTTGAGTATTTTGGTCTTTCCAATTTACCCGACAAGTCTAGCTTTGTTTCAACCACTCCAAGTAAGATTGAGCAAAGACGGTCGACTTTGCAAAAATACTTTAATTCGATATTTGTTATGCCTCATATTCCACGCTTGGTGTTGTACAAGATTTGTACATTTTTGTCGTTGGATTTTGTGAATCCTCTCGATGATTTCAAAAGTGGGTCAAGAAAAGAAGGATTTTTGGTGCGCAGGTATAAAGGTTTGGGTAATAGTTGGAAGATAAGATGGTGCCAGATTGAGAGCCACTACCTTGAAATTTATCAGTTTCCAGGAGGTCAACTTCAAGAGTCTATATCATTGAGAAATGCACAGATTGGACGACAAGCAACTGATTCAGTGGCTGAAGATAAAGGATACAGGCACGCACTTTTGATTATGGAGTCACCAAAAGGTTCCAAGCTCCATTCTACGACAAATAAGCATTTCTTCTGTGCCGAAACTGACGAAGAAAGAGATGATTGGGTGACTGCATTGATCGAATTTACCGAGCCAGGACTGGAATCAGCCGAGTCGTCTCCCCGAAATACATATATTTCCCCAGACACGCCGACGGACCTTGATAAGAAATTCTTGTACGACAATTATACCCAAGGTACCGATTCTGATTTTAGCAATCGCTACTCTACAAGTGATCAAAACAACACCACTTTTGCATCAGTCTCCAGTGAGGACCAGACAAAGAAGTCAAAGCTTCGAAATTACTTTTCATTTAGAAGTAAGGATACATTGACTGAGGACCAGTCACAGCATGATCATCATCATCAGCAACAGCAACAGCAACAGCAACAGCAACAGCAGCAGCAGCAGCAGCAGCAGCAGCAGCAGCAGCAGCAGCAGCAGCAGCAGCAGCAGCAGCAGCAGACGCCATACTTTGATTCGCAACTACAGTCAGTACCGTATTCGAACCTTGGCTCTTCCCAGCAACATACTTACACACCGCCATCAACAAATGGGTATCAACCACCACCACAGCCTTTCATGCCAAACCAAACTTCCAACAACTCTGTTCAACAATACCTTGATGATTTGAATATTGGAAACGATATCACCAAGTCTATATTTGGCCGTGATATTGAGGAGGCATACGAGTTATCGCACCATGAATATATGGGTCGTGATATACCCAGTATTTGCTATCGATGCTTGGATTATTTGAACAGGACCGGTGCTGTTTTTGAGGAAGGAATATTTCGATTGAGTGGGTCGGCGTCCACGATTCGACAATTGAAGGATATATTCAATACACAATACGACTTGGACTTGTTTCAGACCCCATTGAAGCCAGATATAAATACAGTGTCTGGGTTGTTCAAGACTTATTTGCGAGAACTACCCAATCCGATACTTGGCGCAAATACCTATCACCATTTAAACCATCTCATGTTGAACAATGCGCAGTCAATGCCACCATCACAAATTGCACTTATTTTCCGAGATTTCCTCAATGATTCAAACAATATTGACAAGATCAATTACGATTTGTCTTATATCATCTTCAAATTCCTTAGACAAATCATTTCACAAAATCAAATCAATCGAATGAACTTGAGAAATGTGTGTATTGTGTTTGTCCCGACATTGAACATCAGTCTTGAGGTATTGAGCACGATTTTGATTGATTTCGAGTGTATTTTCGAGAATGGTAAACCCATTTCAGATTCGAATCGAGAGGTATTGGATTTGCACATACCAAACTTTTAAATCGTAAACTGTTTGCCTCGTGATGTGCGCTGTTGATTTTACTTACCGACATATATATATATATATGTATATATATACGATACGAAACTGTTCTTTTCTGTTTATTCTATGTAACACTGTGTTTCAACAATCCACTTTTTTCTCTTTTTTTGGTCTTATGAATACTTACCATTCACATTCTCCAGTAGCTTTGTGAAAAACATAATCCTTACCATCGATATTTGCAACACCTTCTTTCAAATTTGCTTTCCATTTGTTTTTGATCCTTTGCACTTTATCATACAAGCATAACATAATCTGTCCTTCTTGATCTCCATCTTCGTCGTCCGATTTATCACTTTCTAAATCATCATCTAAGTCCGAATTTATGTCGTCCGAATCATTGAAAATATCGCCATCTTCATCGTCATCGTCATTGTCGTCGACATCATCATCATCATCATCATCGTCCAAAGTCCCATCAACTTGGCGAAAATTCAGTCTCGTTCTTTTGGTTTTTGATTTCTTTTGTAGCAGCTTTAGTACTTGCTTGGGGTTATTTACATGTAGTGTCATTTCAAAAGTACCATCGGTTTGAGGTAATGGCGGGAGTGATAAACCATCATCATTGCCTTCCTTTTTGACTGTAATTGGAGGCAACTCTATTCCTAAATCATTATTGTAACTCAACACATCAGAGGCACCAACGTCACCAGAAACATCCCCATTTTGGCCACTAGAGTCAATGTTTCCACCATTAGCAGACTCTTCAAGCTGAGATGTTGAAGTTGGCTCTCCCTTGACCGCCGCACTTGTATTTGCACTTGTATTTGCACTTGCATCGTTACCTATTAGCAAAGCTGGATCATCATCTCCATAATCGTCGTTTTCATCCCACGAAAATTTGCCAACTTTGGATTCCGATAACTTCTCGCACCAAATCTTGCGCAACTCTTGTAGTGTGGCTTCATCAATGCCCATATTTTCAAAATCTTGACGAGAGTCGGATATCACGTCTTCTATTATAGTTTCGTATAACTTGCTGGCCTCTGCGTTTGACATGGTGGGCAAAAAAATAAAAAAAAAAAGAGTACTATGTGTGTGTGTGTGTGTGTGTAGAAATGAAAATATTAATAGTAAAGTAGCAGCGCTGAGTGAATCTGAATTAGTATACTGGCCTGGATTCAAAACACTGGCTAACAGAGGTAAAGCTGATTGATTGTGATATGGAGTGGTATTGCCGTGCAAAGCAATGTGGTCGTAGTGGGGGAATTTTTCGTTCGCTCCGCTTCAACTTTAATCAATTTATAGGTCGTGCAGATTGGTGAAATATATATATACCAAGGGGAGGAATTCTACAGTGACGCTTCGAAACAATACTCAATTCATATATACAAGCTTGCTACATAACGCCTTGCTACTTTAATCAACAAGATTCACGCTTTCCAAATCGATTGCCTGCAAGACCCGTTGCTGATCATTGATCTTGGTCAACAATTGCTTGAAGAAACCAGAACTGATCTCGGCATCTTTGATATACGACTCTAATTTCTTCTTTTGAGACAAGTTCTTGTCAATGCTCGTTTGGAAATTATTCATCACCTGTCTTGCTGGATAGTTCAAAACTTGACGGCATTCACTGGCTATACGTGTTGAATTGTTGTGTACATAATTCGTTTCTTGAATCTTTCTCTTGATCTTTTTAGCTTGTTTTCTCGATAGGGCGTTGGGGATATCACTAATGAGATAGTATATTGCAATACCAGAAACGCCAATAAGGATAGGCACTGCTACACGTTTGAGGGTGTTTGGTGTAACGTAATTGCTAAGGTGATACAAACGATTGATCAACGCACCTGTGGTCAAAAGTTTACCAGATGAGTAGAGGGTGTGCAATGTCAATTGAGTTGGTAGTTGCTCCTTCAACGCAACTGCATTGGATGGAATTGCAGTGATTACCGAAACGGGATTGAAGTACGAAATTTGGTGTTTTGTAGCACTGACATACGACTCAGGCAATCCAACAAAGACCAAAAATGAATCAATCGACGGATCAAAAAAATCAGAAACCTCAATAGTGTCGTCAATATTCTTACCAATGTCGTCCTTGGCTCTTGTAAACATCAATTCAGAATTAAACTTTTTATTGTTGAGGAATTCCTCGCCCAATGTGCTCTTTCCATACTTTGTGATCTCGTCCACTTTGGTTCCAGTGAGTTGTTTTGCCAACTCTTCGCTCTTCAAGACAGAATCGTAGATAATATCCATCAATGCCAATTGTGACTCCTTTGCATACTCAAATAGGTACTGTAACCCTTCGTATTGAACGACTGGCTTGTCACCTAAATTTTCAATCACCGTCACCATTTCTTTGGTAGTGTCATTGTAAACTTGCGTACATGCTGATTCAATGACTGAGTTTATAGTATCTGAAATCTTATGAGACTTGGATATAATCTCATCAACTTTGGGAGCAACCAGGCTATTGAGCTCCAGCAACTTTTCCTGTCTTTCACCGCTGTACATTTTCTCATTGATCTTGCTCAATGTTTGCAAATCGTGTAGCAAATTGAGGATGTAACTTTTAGCTGGGAGCAACTTCGAAATTGATCGTTTTTCCAAAAGAAACTTTCGTAACGATGCCTCAAGGAGATCAAAGTCGGGATGACCGGGGTTGTTGTCATTGCCTCCATTGCCTCCATCGCCTCCATCGCCTCCATCACCTCCATCGCCTCCATCGCCTCCGTTGCCATTAATTTCATTGGAGCTGACAAAGTGAATAAACTCCTTTGCATTCTTATAAGTGTCCGGTGAAAGATTCTTGATTTGATCCAAAATCCGCTTTTTACATTTTTCCTTGTCTTTAATATTGTCGAACCTGTTCACCACAATGAAAACATATCTTTTTTCATTAGCAGCAGCGGCAATGAACTCTTTGGCTGACAAGGTAAAATGGTTCTCCGCACTAACCACAAAAACCACCAAATCAATCTCCTCTTGGCGTGAAAACACTTGTGTGGTTTGGTACGAATCCATATTCAAGCCTGGTGCATCAATAAGCTTGACGTCAACGACACCATTGCGTAGCAAACTCTCTTGGAACGAGCGGTTATCAAGTACATACACCTTTAGCAACTTGTACTTATCACAATCGTACACCAAGTCTTCCAACTCCAGGAGTGGATGTATTTCATAAGTCGACTCATCAGACTTTTTGTACTCATTTTCTATAGGAACTGCATGTACTTCCTCAAGGCCCTCATTCTCTTTCTGTGCATCAATCACTTCACAAAAGACAGATGTGCATGGTTGTTGGTCTTCGGGAAGGAGCTTCCTTCTCAAAAGCGCATTGCAAAAGGTTGATTTACCCGCATTCAAATCTCCAGTGACAAACACTTTCGAAGAAGTGTCATCAACCCTTTCCTTCAAGTTGAGGAGGTACTTTGTTTGCCCATGAAGTTTTTTTTCCAACAATGCTGCTATTGACTTTTTGTCCAAATTCGAAACCAAGTTGTCATCTCCGTGGCCACCACGTATATTGATCTTTAAAATCCTGAACTCGGGTAGCTCTTTACTAATATCGTCTTCTTTTATCTTTTGCTTCGCCAATTGTTTGATACTAGAGTTCTGTCTCACTAATCCCAAATGAGCTTTGGCACTGTTTAACAAGATTTTCGATCCATCTTCAATCTCAGTTGGGTAAAAAACAGGGCGCTCTTTATTCTCTTTGATTATCTCTTCGATAAGTTCAATAGTCTGGTTGATGGAACGATCTAACGAAAGTTTGTTGTCATTGTATTTGAGTTGCTGCAAGGATGCATTGTTATGCTGTTGATTGTGAACCTGCATTGCTCGTCTTGCGTTCAGAGAGCTACTTCCTTCTTCCCCATCAAACAAAGTTGTTCCATCATGTGACAAGTGACTCTCACCAGGCACGTATACCAACTGTGAAGGCTTATCTAATGACTCGTCCAAAAGAGTCAGGTCATCACCATCATCATCGTAATAATCATCACTAAGATTACTATTTTGACGAGGCTTTCGTTTGGACTCTTGTGGTTGAAGGTTGGGGAATCCTGCCATGATACATAAAGCGAGTCAAAAAAACAAAAAGAAAAAGACAAATAATGTAGTTTGTGATATCTGTACTTTAGACTGTGGCTGATTGGGTTGACTGCTGTGAATAACTGAAGGCAAGATATGCAGTTTTGAGAAAAACAATCGCAAAGTAATGGAGTGATTTCTCTCTCTTCTCTCTGTCTCTTCTCTCTCTCTCTCTTTTGTGATCACGGAAAATAATACCCATACACGTGACATTCACATTATCTCTCTTTGATTTTGATCTTCGGCTATCTCCATTTGAATTTATATTGACAATAATACTGAACTGTGGAATTAGTGCTTTTGCCCTTTTCTTTCTCTAATATGGTTCTCAAGACATTCAAGCTAGATGGGAAGCAGCACATTGTTGCTACTCCATTAACACCTGAGGCGTTTGCACCATATGGAGGTGTCATCAGTGCTGACCATCAACTACAAAATGTTGAAAAGTCAGAAGCAAACTACGGTACAGCGATCAAGTTACATAAAGTGGCACCCATAGTCAACAATTATACCAACTCTCCTAGCAGCGTCAAGGAGACTGCAAACTGGAACATATTTAGATGCACAGCACCAAAACATTTGATCAAACATGGCGGCTCAAAATCAGTCTATTTATCAAAAGTATTGGAGAGACATCCATTCAGCACCCAAACATTTGTGCCCATGGGTCAAGACAAGAGCAAATTGTCATATTTGGTTATTGTAGCAAAGACTGACGGATCTACAAGGGACAAGTTACCCGATGCTTCACAAATCAAGGCCTTCATTTGCAAAGGAAATCAATCCATCACTTATGGGGCTGGTGTATGGCATGCTCCCATGGTTGTCATTGACGAAACAATCCCACACTTGGATTTTGCAGTGTTGATACATGAGAATGGTGTTGCTGATGAAGACTGTCAAGAGTGTTACTTTGATCCAGGCTACAATATCGAGTATACGTTAACTTCATCGAAATTATAAACTGATATTTACAAAAATTCCATAAATTCATCCACCATTTCTTTTGCATACTTTTCCCTTTGTTCAGGAGGTAGATTACTAGCATTCTCTCTTGCCAAGCTTATCTTTGAAAACATGTCTTCCAAGTCAGGACCACGGTCAGTTCCATTCAATAGACGTGTCTGCATTCCTTCAAGTTTCTTAACTTTGTTCTTCTCGTATTTGCTGTGATCTCTTTCGAGTAGTTCCATATTGGACCAGCCATGGGTTTCGAACAACTCAAGCAACCTGTCTCTGCCCACCCGCTCTTTGTATTCATTAATGCCGCTTTTCTCGAAATTGATAAATTCGATTCCATGAGTTATAACCTCGTCCTCAATAGCGTCCATTTTGTATAATTCCACCGCTTCACCGAAAGGCACTGTTCCGACTACAGACAAAAACCCATCCCAGTTATCAAGCTGCTCCAACTTGGCTCGAATCTCATCCACTTCGAGTAACAAATTCGGTAGAAACTGGGGGTGGGTATTCATATTGTACGTGAATATGATACCATCGAGTGCCTCACGTAGCTCCCCCATTTCTTCAGTGAAAAAATCCCTCTTCCATTCTTGTAACGCACTTATATATTCATCATCCGTGATTGAGCTGGTGCGCTTGGATGGGTACTCATCAATCATCAATTTCAATTTGACAGTATAATACTTTGTGGTTAATGATGTTGTCTGAATTATACCGCTATGAGATTCATCCTGTACTATTGACCTTGCTGAATTAGCATCTCCCCTCAGAATCAAATCACTTATGCGTAATTTCCCACTATTTGGTGGACCTAGAATAAGGACATGGTTGGGTATCATTATTCAGATGTGTGGAATTACTATCAGAGGAACAAACAAAAAATAAAGAGAAAAATAAAAAAACAAAAAAAAACAAAAACACATAGGCAAAACCCACCCACACACACACACACAAACTCTCGATCCGCTGTTTAAAAATTCACTTGACGTCAAGATACACATACATTTCACCACACAAGGAGGAACTCTTCCACAATGGCGCCATCAAGAAGCAGTGGTACAATAGCTAATGGCCATAGTGAAGCAAAAACAGCCCCAGCAGCTAATGAGAAAAAGCAACCTATTGACAGCATCCAATTGGAAAACTTGCTACTTCGAGACGAAGAAATATTTCAAACGTCTTTGAACTCGGATGATTATCTAGATAGCCTTGCCCCAATCATCAAAAATGCAGTCAAGCTGAATGAGTTGAGTGGATTGATAACAAAGTTGAACGACATAGTGCAGCAGAAGGATGAGGAATTGAATCAAGTATCTATCGAGTCCATGGACGAAATTAATCAGTGCATGCAAACGATCGCTAGCATACATAAAAGTGCAGACGATTTGAATGCCCAGTTTCTCACTGTCAATCAAGGCTTGAATAAATCTGCATTTGAACTAATGACCAGGAAAAAAAGCTACACAAAGTACAAGGAAGTTTGCAATAGAATAAATGAAACACATGTCGTTTTGACCGAGTGTATTCAAGTTTTGGAGTTGATGAACAGGATATTGGACTTGATAAAACAAACCAGGTATTTCCTGGCGTTGAAGTTGATTGATGAAATGACAAATATCCATATACAAAAGGTTGAAGAGTTTAGCTTTGCTAAAAAGATTGTTGCATCAACACCGCATCTAACCAAGATGATTGAAGACGACTCATTTGAGAACTTGACAAAGTGGCTATCGATCCATTTGGAGAGAAAGTTGCGTCCAGTGGGGGAGACTTTATATGAAAACCTTGCTGAATTGCAAGATATTTGGAGAGACCAACAAAACAAACACGAAATGTATAGACCATACAAGTTGAACTCGCCAGTTGAGTTGAGTTTGAGAGATCCACATTTGAATTACGACGTGTTTGATGATGAGTCATTGCAGATACCATTGAATAACGTTTATGATGCCATCTTGGTGTATCTGACGTTGCATGAGTTGGATACTCTTCGTGATATTTACTACAAGGAGTGGATGAAGAAATATAGTAGGATTATTTATCCACTCACGTCAGCTTCAGCTAACAAAAAGGAAATTGTTTTCAGTAACAATGAGCTAGATGAATATTTGAAGAAGATTGCGGCATTTTTCGTAATGGACAAACAATTGAACTTGATTACAAAGTTTCAGTTGCGTACAAATAATCAATCGGACGATTTGTGGATATCCTTTGTGTCCAAATTGAAGCCTGTTTTGTTGTACAATTTAAAGAGAAATGATTTTTATGATCTTCGGGAGTTGCATGGATTTAAGCAGATTGTTGGTGACTTTATGCAAATTATGGATTCGAATGAGTATGATATTGTTGAACTTTATGAAGTGTTGATGATTATTTTCAAAGACTATTTTGCTCCATTAGTTGTACAAGATTTTAGAAAACAGTATATTGGAGCCATGCAGAAGGAATTGTACACTTCGTTAGAAGTTGATGAGAGGAAATACAATGATATCATCAAGACATTATTTTATCACAGGGATGCCCCCTTTGCGCCACGGAAAGTTAAGAATAGATTCCCAGTTAAGCTTCCATTTAGTGAAGATTATGCAACATTTTGCAAAATCTTGCACAAGCTCACCACTAGAACTTTGAAGTTTATCGACGTTTACTACAACTACGAAATCAATGAAATTATAAACATTATTGTCAATGATATCTTTGAAGAGTTTTTGGGAGAAAAGAAGGGTTATGGAATAGCATGGGAGATTGAAGATTTCATACGCAAAAACTCCACAAATAAAGAAGTTACTGCTCAAAGTTTTGTTAATTTGGAGCACTACATCATAGGTTTGATTGAGATTGGGAAACTTCTCAATGTCAGACTAAGACAGGAGACGGGTATGGGAATCCACAATATCGACAATAATGGTACATTCACTTTAAAGGCGGTGGAGACGTTTACCAAGTTGAAGAAGTTTTCCGAAGAGACCCTTTACCAAATGGTTGACACAAAATTGAATGAATTGTTAGACTTGGTAGAGTATGAAGATTATGAACCGCCAGAACTGGAGCGCAACACAGAAGCCAATTTTTCTGTCAAAGATTTTGCCATGTTTTTGGAAAATTTGTTTACATCCATTTTCGAAAACTTGTCACCACAATTGCGCACGTTGGGATTGTTTAGAGCTTATGACTTTGTCTCGCAATACTTTTTAGGAATACTACACGATGCTCCTAGATTCAACTCGGTGTTTATTGACAATTTTGATTTGGATATCAAGTATCTCGAAAAATCGATGAAAAAATTGGGCCGTGTGGAAGAAGCGATGGATGATGCATCGCAAGGTAATGTTTCAATTGATTCTACATTTTCAGAGTTGCGACAAAGTGTCGATTTATTGAAGTTGGACAATTACGAAGAATATTTGAACAATAATACTTACAGGACAAGAAATTTCAGTTCCATAAAATTTGACAAAGGTTCGCGATTGATTAGCAAAATGCAAGGACGCGACGATGCTATATTGGCCCGTAACCCAAGTGTCCAACGCACCCCACAACGTACCAACACCATATCCTCAATCTCGCAATCCTTGTCGAGCAGGAATTTCTCCGGTTTACGAGGGAACAGATATAATGATGAGGAGAGCACATCTGGGTTGAACATGAATAACTCCAACCCCAATTCGAGACCAGTTTCACCATCACAATCTCCTCGACCAGAAGCCGGAGCAAGAGCATCCCCGGGGTTGGCATCAATGACTGGATCTCTTTCAGGTTCGAGACTTAAAAATTTTGCAGACCGATTCAAACAGAATGGTCAGAATAACGGGCAAAATGGGGAATAGACAATTAGACCTTGGAAAGCATTTTATGGGAGGCGTGTCGGCTTGAAAGTTTACCAAAATTTCAATTTTGCAAGCCAACCTTGTCTCTTTTTTAGTTCTTGTTGTTTCAACTCTGCAACGATTGTTTGTATTTGAGATTCCAAGTCATTAGACTCTCTCACTAGTTCGGCTTCAACTTCTTTGTACTCCAAGTTTGTCCATAGAGTATGCAAGAGTAGATATGTAGTTAATGATATGGTGAGGGTGTTGAATATTGCATGGCCAAATTGAGAAATTTTTGGCTTTGGAGGGACTGTGTCATACTCAGGTATGATAGTTGTGTATTTTCGAGATGGGTTTGATCTGAGGTTGAAGATACGTTGAGGGAACCGTACAGCAGAGCGAGAGAGCATTGATGACTTGTGTGTAAATAGGCGATGGTAGATATGGAATGGTTTGACTGAGTGCTTTCTCTCTTTCTTTTTTTTTTTTTTTTTTTTTCCATCATCAAACGATAACCTCTGTTCTTTTTTTTTTTGGTAGTTATAGATTGTCAGTAACATATAGCCAGCAACTGCATAATGATAGGAGTAATCAGACTACGTGTTGCAGGAGTTAGCACAATGCAGATGATGAAGCTGTCTCCATCCCTGTTTTGTCGTCTACCTTGCGTGCCTCGTTTGGCCCGCCCGTTTCACCAATCAGTCATCTACAAACAACTCAATCAGCAACAACCAACACCACCACCACCACCACAACAGACCCAATCACAAATTGAAGCCAGACTTGAAGCAGAAAGAGCTCGTGTTGATAAACTTGCAAAGGAGAGGGAGGAGCGCCAAAGGTATAAAAATAGAACTGCAACATACTATGCTGCTTCCCTAGGCATTGTGTTTCTAGCATTGGCATTTTGTGCTGTGCCTGTATATCGGGCCATTTGTCAGCGTACTGGATGGGGTGGTATCCCCATCACTGATAGCACGAGGTTCACGCCAGACAAGTTGATTCCCGTGGACACTAATAAGCGTATTCGTGTACAATTTACGTGTCAGTCCTCAGGTGTTTTGCCTTGGAAATTCACTCCTTTGCAGCGTGAAGTATATGTTGTTCCTGGTGAAACTGCATTGGCCTTTTATCGTGCCAAGAATATGAGCAAGGAGGATATTATAGGTATGGCTACGTACTCAATCATTCCTGAGAATGCCGCTGCCTATTTCAACAAGATTCAGTGTTTTTGTTTTGAAGAACAACGATTGAGTGCTGGCGAAGAAGTTGATATGCCTGTTTTCTTTTTCATTGATCCTGATTTTGCCAAGGATCCAAACATGAGAGGTATTGATGATGTTGTTTTGCATTATTCATTCTTCAAAGCGGCTTATTCTGAGGGTGAATTGTCAGCTGTGCCTAGTAGTAGGAAAGTGGAATTGAAGGCAGAGTTGGTGCAGGGATAAATGGGAGAGGGGTTTGTGATTGTACATAGTTTTGATCGGTAAATATACGATATATAGAGTAAACGAAAATTGAAGTGAATCTAGTTTTCACGACTCAAGAGAACAACAAAGGAAGTCAAAAAAGAAAAAAAAGGGAAACGAGTTGGACTAGTGGCAAAGAACACAAGTGCGCTGTGACGTAGATTCTTGAAGTTTTCAGATGCGATCAATCAATTCGGCAATGCCAAGATTTTACGTGTGCTATACCAAGCACAAAACAAGAATTGATTTACTAATTTAGGTTTTGGCAAAACTGAAGCATCCAAACCCGGTCTAACAGCAACGAATACTCACAAAAAAAAAAAAAAAAAAAAAAGGATTTGTTGAGTATGTGAGCTTACCCAACAACATCAGACATGCCTTGTACCTCCTCTATCAAATCCAATTGCGTCTTCTGTCTTTATAATTATTTGCAAAGGCATGTCCAGGAAGGGTTTGCACAAGTAAAGAAGCTGATATTCATCAGTTGCAGGCTCCTAAATTCATAGGAACACTTTAGGGCACAGGCTGTATATGATATGAACCAAGAGTCACATTTGATGATATAACAGTGAATGCAACAATTATCCATATTGCAATGTGGTTAACAATTGTATTTCAATAACGGCATTGTGCTCAATTGATATAGCTTTAGTAACCCATTACTAATGAGAAAACAAGTGTGTGGTTAGGAGATCTCAACAAGTAAATGTTAAGCAAGCAGTACGTGGCTTTTGCTTTTACTGATGAAATTGATTATATTGCCAAAAACAATAGGGTTTGTACACAAAAATGAAGACTGCTTTAATTCCGCTTGTTGTTTGTGTTGTGTAATTAATAAAACAATGTCTAAGATTTTTTTTGAATGTCTGCGTCTGTTTTTTTTGTTTTTTTTTTTGCTGTCTGTCTGTTTCTCAGACAAAATCTACCGAGTCGCAGTGCTATGTAAAAAAAAAATTTTGATTTGAAACTAAAGCTCAATTCTCATTGGCTCTAGCGTTGTAGAAAGATAATGGTCTAGACTTGTATGCTTTGAATGCCGTGAAACAAGGAGAATAAGAGGGACTGCAATAGGAACAACTACTATGTATGCTCCATCCAAAATATGCCAAGATAAAAAGTACACCTGCTAAGAAAGTTTAGTCCATTTATTTTTTTTAACCTTCGGCTTTTGACGTGAAGGTTAAAACTATTTCAACAGCTTTTACCCAACTGTAAATCAGGAATCAGGGGAGAGGGGGGGAGAGGGGGGAGCAGCGCATGGCAGTACAAGGTTTAGGAAACGGTTAAACCTTTCTTCTGTTCAAAAGCCCACTCATAAAAGAGCTCCTTGTTGTTGAATTTGTCTTTTGTTTTGATTCTTTGTGAAAAGTATGATTTGCCAATGAGAGACACGGCTTTTCTATGTTCATCAGTGATTGCCAGATCCAATAGAACAAAAGAGAACTACGGTAGAAACGGAACAATTTCTACTGCATCTGGTGTTGGAAAAACAATTACCCCAAAGACGCTCTCTCTCCTTTGCCAAGAAAACTTTAATCTATTTATATTAATAACCAATGAACGGTTTGTTAAAAAAAAAAAAAAAAAGAAAAACAAAAGAAAAGAGAGGACTTGCTTATTCCTTATAAGGTTAAATTATTCAACCAAGTATTGGACTGAATAAGAAAAAGCAATAGAAGAGATTAACAGCCAATCACTGCAATTGTTTTTTTGTTTTTTTTTTATTTCTTTAGTGTGTCTCCCTTACTTTTATAGTACTGGTGTCTTTGTACTACTTCTGTTGAGTATTTGAAAACAAAAAAAAAAAAAAAGAAGGATAATAATAATAATAATAAATACTTAATACTACACATAGATTGATCAGATAAATAAGATTACCTATGTATGAAAAAGATACAACAAAGATGTATAATCAATGTGTTTATCTGTGTGCTTTCGTATTGGAGGTCTACTTGCTTAATTTACACACATTCACAAATACATAATGAAATTCATGGACCTTGTTGCTAATTTTCTTGGCTGTAGGCGAAGCAGCTTGCAAACACATGGCAAAGAACAGACAAGCTTAGTTTCTCCAAACCCTTACTCTTGCCAAGCACTAAACAAACAACACACCCCGATTTGATTTTGTTGCTAATAACGGGGCTGATAGAAGTCAGCATGGAACAGACTGGTTCAATTAGATTGTAGCACCAAAAGTTTTAATAGTACACTCTAAAAGCCACTGCCTAAAATAAAAATGTAACCTCCCTACAGAGTAAGCGTTTGTGTTGAAATTGGTACCAGACGTTTAAACATTCCATACAGTGGTTTAGTTTGGGCTTAATTGGTACATTGACAGAAGGATTTACTAAATTTGACCTTCGTACAACAATTTAAGCTTTTGACAATTTCAAGAAAAACCACACTACTTCGCCCTATCTTGTTTCCTTCCAAGCAACCCTTTTTCCCCCCTTCCTCCCCCTTCCTCCCCTGTCTTATCTCAAGCATCTGCAAAGAAAACACAGCCCGGAATGTTTTGGGTTATGAGCCACTCCTCGCCATTACACCAATCCCTCTTGTAAGGTAAAATATTTTTTGAGCAAGAGGACAAACATAATGTAAACGGTAGCTGTGACTTTGTGACTGTTTTTGGTAAAATATTTTTGTTTTATTTTTTTTTCTTTTTTTTTGTGGGCGACATTTCACTTATGGCAACTGTAATCTATTCCATCAATTTATTCTCCATTCATGATGTGCACCAACACAGCTGCTTTCAAAGGTTCACCGTTCTTTGGAGATAGCAACCAATAACCTAACTAGTCAATAAACCCACACATACAACATTCTCTCTCTCTCTCTCTCTCTCACTGTGTGAATGAGAATAAATGATAGTTGACAGTGCCAATCTAGAATAACCTTTACTCTTTTTGTATACAGGTTGTGTCTCCAAAAAACAAACTCTCATACGCTTATTACGTTCCTTAATACTTACACAAATCTGTAGACAATTGAGGGCTTTATGCAAGTCAGTTACAAACAACAACAGAGAGTAGTACAAACCCCAATTGACAATTGCAATAGATACTACTGGGGCTAATTCCAACAACTCCCATTGTTTAACAAGAAAAATTTTTTCTTTCTTACAGCAATCGGCACAAATGCGCCCTATGCCTTTCTTCAAAGAGGAGTAGCTATAGATCCGAGAGATAATGATAGGTATACATATATATATATATAGATTTCCAAATTGCCAACAATGGAGTTCCCTTTGCTAATAATTTTTTCTTACTTCTCCTGTTCCAACTAAGGTAATTCTTTGTCAACGTTTCTTCTTAATATTTCCTTCCTTGTTTTTGCAACTGCAATTGAAAAGTTCAGAGGAAACTGCCCCACACACCATATATTCACCAATTATAAATACAATGGTGTCCCTTAACATACCAATTTACACCTTACTTTCGCTATTTTTGGTATCCACAGTCGATGCATCTAAAGATGGTTACCAAATATATCACGCTGACGATTTCCCAGTTCAAGCATGTACTGGTGTAATTGGCAAAACCGCCACTTTTTTTGGTTCAGATGTCAAGAATGGGTTCTGTGACGTTAAGAACCAGCCGGCATTGGGTACCATGGCTGAATGTATTGAGATGATGATGAAGTATAAGAACAAGGATTCGCGTAAATTGTTTCTTGCAAGTTGCAAAAAACTGAAGTTGACTCAAGATGAATACTTTGCTGCTTTACAAAATGCCACTGATTTTGGATTTGTTAATACCACTGCTGAAAAGGGGTTCAACAAGACCGAGATATATGACAAGCCAATCTTGTTGACGCAAATGAAGGTTGATAGAGCTTATGATGCCGTAGCTACTAGATGGTACAACTACAATTATGCTCAATGGTTTGGTATTGCATTGATGTGTTATTGGTTTGGTGTTTTGTTCATTTCCGGTGCCATCAACTTGTGTTATTTCCTTTTCCCTGGTTTCATCAAATCGTTCAAGGGTAAATTGGTAAATACATTCCGTTTATACTTTACCTTGCCTGCATTATTTGGCAAGACTCATGTTCATCACAAGGCTATATTCAAACATGTTTTTGTCATGTTCCCCACCAGATTAGAGTCAATAATTGTTTTTGGATGGTTTGCAATGGCTTTGATTATGTGCTGCACAAACTATGTACATGTTGTTCCAAACTATATCTGGCCCGATAGGTCAAACGAACTTGGTAGAAAAGTTGCTGATAGAACTGGACAGATTGTCATGTGGTTGATGCCCCCCTTGGTTTTATTTACCGGAAGAAACAACTTTATGCAATGGATCAGTGGTTGGCCATATGCTCGATTTGTTTACATCCACAAGTGGATTTCAAGGATTGTGTTTTTTATGAGCATTGCTCATGCTGTTGGTATGACTTATAATGGTAAGAAATTGGGTAAATATGAACTGAGATTTCTCGAGCCATATGTACGTTGGGGTACTGTTTCCATTGCTTGCATGGGTATTATGTGCTTCCAGTCATTGATGTATTTCAGAAGAAACAACTACGAGTTGTTTATCTTGATCCACGTGTTGATGGCTGTGTTTGCCATTGGTGGGTTATGGATCCACGCAAGACCACAACATTTCCATTATTTTATGATTGCCACTGTATCAGTGTGGGTTTTTGATCGTGTTATTCGTATTGCAAGACTAGCCTCATTTGGGTTGCGTACTGCTCAAGTTCAATTGATTGCTAATGAAACCGTTAAAGTCACTGTGCCTAGACCAGCTTGGTGGGTTCCATTCCCTGGCTGTCATGCTTTCATCCATTTCATGAGACCAACTTGTTTTTGGCAATCGCATCCATTCACAATTGTTGACTCTGTTGCTGAAACCAGAACCATTACTTTTTACTTGAAAGTGAAGGGAGGGATGACCCATGGATTGTACCAGTATTTGTCGAAACAACCAAGTCAAACTGCATCGATCAAAGTTTCAGTTGAAGGGCCATATGGTAACCCAGTTGCAATCAATAGATTCGAATCAAGTGTTTTCATTGCTGGTGGAAATGGTGTTCCTGGACTTTACTACGAAGCAACATCGATAGCCAAGAGGTTTGGCGAATCAAGACCAATCAAGTTCTATTGGGTCATTCGTCATTACCGCTCATTAGATTGGTTTTACCAAGAGTTGCAGAAATTGCAAGACTTGCCATCAATAAAACCCATCGTTTACGTAACTCAACCCCACATTGGATTAACTGAGCCCATTGAAACAAACATCACTGATGATGAATTGGAACAAGAAGAAGAACAAGAGAAGAAGTCAGACACTTACGAAAAAGAGGATTACATTGTCAAGCGCAGAAAACAAATGAGTCATGTTGAGTTTAGAGAATATAGACCCGATTTCTACAAGATAGTTGCTGATGAAATCAAGGAAACGGTGACGCCGTTGGCCATAGCTTCTTGTGCTCATGGATCTATGGTAGATGATGTGAGGAAATCTGTCGCTGATCATTTGAATGATTCGCAGTATAGAATCGAATTGTTTGAACAAATACAAGGTTGGTAGAGAGAGAGAGAAAGAGACGAAGAGGTGTCGATTGGTGGTAATTTATAGAGTTTGTACCCTTTCTGGTGATGTATATATATATTAACTTTGAGCAGCGGTGATCCGTAGTGTAGAAATGCTAAGAGATCAATTCGGAATGCTGAGGCGGGTCTTTAGGAAGGAAAAAGTTTTGATTGTGTACAAACGGGTTTGAACTTTTAGGAGTCATCGAACAAATACCGTATATTTTGGCTCGGTCCGAAAGGAAAGACAAAAGTATGCTGTAATCTTGTCTGTGCAGAGTAAAGTAGATGGCTCGCAGTCTTCTACTATACAGCAGAACTTGAGAGGTATAGGCTTGATGACAGAGTAAACACGCTCCTTTGGAATCAATTGCACTCTCTTCTTTGTAAACTCACCCGATTTCAATATCCGCAAGTCTCCGCAAACTCATCAACTCTTCAATGATGAGATCAACGTAAATCAAGTGTTTCGTTGTTATAGTAAGTAGATTGAGATTGTGCTTGTGTAATACGCGTCTATGCAATAAAAAAAAGAAATTAAATTTGTAAACAATTGAACAATTGCATCTGGCGCTTAAAAAAAAAAAAAAGACAAAACAATTTTCGCAGTTTTGATGGATATTGTTTACCAACTACACGCTTGAAGAAAATTCTGATTTCACAAATTCACATTTACCCAAATTTGGAAAAGAAAACCTAACCCAGTAGAATTTATCATCTGTGTCTTTTCCTAACCATAAATTATTTTATTCTTTTTGAATCGAATCTATATTGCTTCACTCCCACAGCATAAGAGGTGATATCCCGTCAATCTTGGATCTATTGCAAGAGCTTAACCAGAAAGTCAACGAAGATAGCATAAAAACACCCACACACTAGGTTGGTTAGATCAATAATTGGCCCGGCATCATTTTTCTTTCTTTAACCTTTTCTTTTTTTTGGAAAAGAAAAAAAAGTCTTGTCCTAAAAGTCTTGTCCTGAGATTACCCCCAGGTTGCCGATATCAAACTCATCGACTTCTGAGGATCCATCACCCACACCATTTCCGCTCAAACTATAGTCACTCGCTTTTCATATAACAACACCATTTTGCATAAAACTTAAACAAAAAACCTTTCCTTTATTGCATGCAGCTTTGAAAGATGATCCCAACTCCAACAGCATCACAATACTTGTTTGAACGAGCTTCCAAAACTAGCGACGATAGTGAAACGAATTCTGATTATTGCAAAAAGAACCCCAATTCCTCTGAATGTGAAAAACCGGTTACCAATGATGCTCTTACAATTGCATTATCGATTGTTTTACCGGTCGTTGCCATTCTTTGTGTGTTGGGGTATTTCCTCTACAGGAATTATCGTAAAGACAAGAAAGAAGACTTGGAACGTGATCCTGATTTTTACGAAACAGGTGAAGCTACTCAATTACCCGATTTTCCTGAAATGAAACAGGAAGATCCGTTTCATAATAGAAATTCAATCAGATATCCCATGGATCAATTCTCTAAAGAGGGTAGTTATGATGGCAACAGCAAACAGTTTACTCAACACGTGTCTAGAAAATCCCAAGGTCCATATCTAGATAGTTTTGTTTTGCCATATCAACATCAAATGGGGTCAAAGCTTTCCTTGGATGATTATGCAAGACAATTGGGCGAGCAAGGATATCGCTCCCCAAATCCTCGCACACGAGCAAGTTCAATGAATTTGGATACTGCTTTAAAGACAATGAGCAATAACAACTCCAACACTCATTCAAGAAAGCCAAGTTCTCAATCGAGTCCCCTGAAAAAAATTGATGGTAAGCAGTATACAAATATCCCCAATGAGTCGAACCCAGTATTACATGAAGTTTCACACGAGGTGTCGAGTATAATGGATGATTCCAATGGATCTGATTCGGGTTCTGGCTCTGGAGATAGTGGTGTCATCTCTCCACAAGATGACAAATTTGGTATAACTTATGAAAACGAATCGGAAATGGCCATCAATAAAGCTGTGCCGCAAATTGTCGTTGATGGAGATGGGGGTCATGACACTGAAGCAAATGAGGAGGATACTTCTGATTTGTCACCGTTCAGTGACAATGCTCAGAAACCACATGAAACTAATGAATCAACGTTGGATACCATCCCTATGCAGGATTTGAAAAAGGATGTTGGCGAAGTTAAACCCACCAATGATATTCAATCTCTGTCCTCATCAATAGAATCCAAAACCAATCCAATTCAAAAGAAATCTGTCAAGATCAATAAGTCGCCAAGAATTTCAGCATTTAATTTGTTGAAGAATGATAGTGATGCCGAGGATGAAGACGATGATGAAGATGGTGAGTTGGAGAGGCTAACTCCAAAGCAACAAGAGGAGCTCAAACGGATGAAATCAGTATACAAGGTTTATTTTGATAAAGAGGGAGAAGCAATGAGACAAAACGCTCAATTTGTCGATGGTGGAGAAGGAGCAGTAGAAGGAGCAGTAGAAGTGGAAGCAGACGACGAGGTGAAGCCTGTTCAAGGAGAGCAAATTAATGATGATTTGAGAGTCGACACTGATTATGCAAAGCGGTACAGCAACACTTCTTCTGTTTATATGGATCCCGAAGAAGCATACCAATACCAACAACAACAACAGCAAATGTATTACAACGATTTCAATCAACAATACCAACAACAATACGGAGCTCCTGTCGATCCCCAATTGTATCAACAATATCAACAACAACAGTATTACTACTACCAGCAACAACAGCAACAGCTTCGACAACAACAAGGGCCACCTCGTCCTTTGCCTCCTTTGCAACAATTGCGTAATCCATCTGATCTTCGTAAATCTACACTTCAAACATTTACTGATTTCAGACCTCGGGCCAAGAACCAAACTGTGACCTCACCACCACAAGGCAAACAGCCATTTGTACCAATTGAAAATGATACAGTCTGGACCTCGCCAGTGAATTCGCCCAGTATACAATCACAAGCTTCATTCCCTAGTCAGCAGAATCGTCACCAGCAAGGTGATTACTTCCCTAACCAACATCAACAGCACCCAAGCTACCAAACCAATGGAAAATCCAACTCCTCAATGACGATCCCTTCAGCAACGCAAGTTTCTCGTTCGTCAGTAGTAATGTTGAACCCAGTTACCGAAATCACCAAGTCGCGCAAATTCAAACCAGCTGGTTCATTGCCTAGCACTACCCAATTGCATGCCCAGTTTGGTCATAGTGATTTGAATGGACCGGAAAATGATTTGTTGCCAAGTAATAGAAAGAGTGATGTTCGTAGAATGATGAACACTAATTTTTAGTGGAGAAAGTGTGTGTATAGAGCATAGAACGTTGATCAATATAATCAAATTTAGATTGGTTTATCGAGTGTCAGATAAGATCTCAATCAAGAATGCTATGTATTATTGTAAAGTTTTCAATGAACTTTGGTGCCAATTTGCACCCAAACACTTTCATCACGATTGGTCTTGAGAATATTATCGCCTATACTTTATATAATGGAGAAAGACTTTGAGCAAAAGAGGTAGGGTCAACTAGAACTCCACAATTTGAAGTGCGTTTATACTCGGACCTGTCCTGAATCTACAACATTATATAAGATGTATATCTTCATCCCACATAAGCTTAACGTCGCAAGACTAAATGTTATTGGCTGTTCAACCAACCAAATTGCACGAGAAAAAAAGAAAAAAAAAAAAAAAACAAAAAGAAATTAAAACGAAAGCAACAGCGAGACAGAGACAGAGACAGAGACAGAGACAGAGACAGAGAAAGAAAAATTTCAGTCACTATATTGACGCAAGGTAATAGTAACAACCTATAGCTACAAAATCAACTTTCAACACTTTGGACTAACTCAATTTGGGTCTGCACGATCAATTGAAACTAACGGCAATCAAGCAATCATCACCAAATAGACACTGAATTAATTATCAACTACAATGTCAAGCACAACTGCATCTTCAACTACACCTACGGCATCTGCTCCAGCCTCCCAAATTATACCAACTTCATCACAAAACTTACTCAATGACAAATGGGATGTAGTATTGTCCAACGCATTAATCAAAACAGGATTGGGTTTTGGCGGTGGTGTATTGGCATCTATATTATTCTTCAAAAGAAGACAGTTTCCAGTATGGTTGGGTATCGGATTCGGATTGGGAAGAGGGTACTCTGAAGGCGATGCTATATTCCGGTCAAACCACGGGTTGAGGACTGTAAAAGCTTGAAATTAAGGCGTCGAAGTGGGTACAGAGAGCTTTTGAATCGAAGGTAAAACGATAAAAATTATTACTGAATAGGTACTTGTATAATATCAAAGTTTGATATAAGATAGGAAGCAAATGGATATTTTAGATTTGACAAGAACAGATGTGTGGATGTTTGGTGGTGGGTGAATTGTTTGTAGTTGTATCTGGCACCCGATTGCAAAACTATATTTCGTAAAGAGGGAATTTGGGTGGGAATAAGCGAAGCGAGGGGGAAGAGTTGGATACATATGGGGATACATATATCCCACACTTTTTGTCATCAGTAACGAGTAGCCTCTCCACGAGTAATCACAGTCACGCAACAACAACAACAACAGTTTACATTCAAAGATGGTCAAGTCGGTTCGGTTATTGATTGAGCGTGACATAAACGTGCATCAAGTACTTCAAGTCCCAAAAAACGCAACAACCGAACAGATAAAGCAAGCTTATCAGAAGCAAGCGTTGTATTATCAACCTGCAATGCAAGCAAAGTTAAGCAGTCAAGCACGGGGCCGTTTCAATTTGGTCCAGATGTGTTATCGAATACTCTCCAATCCGTCATTATTAAAAGAGTATAAAGCTCTAGTCCGTGATTTAAAGGGTAAACCTGCTAAAATCTTGAAGAAATCTGTGGCGATCAAGAATTTTCAGCGAAAGTTGAGGGAGATAGAGCTACTGGAGCAAGCAGAAGCAGCCAAAAAGCTCAAAATGCGTCTTTTAGGAGCTCAACAACGTCGGTCATCTACGAACATAGAGCAATTGCAAGAAGAGGGAATTGAAAAACGCCGAGTTTTTGAGAAAGAGAGAATTGCTAGAGAACGCAATGCAAACAGGAGTATTTATGATTTACCTCTTCCTGAGAAACTCCAATTGGACACGCGTAGACTTTACACAGGTCGGTTAGAATACAAACTGAGCTACGATATGGATATGGATGAGAGTGTCATTCGAAAGATTATGAGTACTTTTGGCGAAGTTGAACAGGTGGAGTTGCTAGAAGCTACTACTGATGATGAATGTGTGTGTGCATTGGTTGAATTTGGTGAAATGAAAGTTCTAGATGCAGCAGCTGAATACAACTATTCATCATTACGGAGATGGGAGGGTACAGATGTTCAACAGTTTGCAAGCTTGCTACGATCATGCAAGAAATCCTTTGGTCCCACTGGAGCCGACTGGACAAATAATGCAACAGTAAATGCAGTGCTTACTCAATATCTACAGCCTGTGCCTGATAGAAACGAGGTAGCGTTTGAGACGCTTTCCAATCTGGTTAAGACACCTTTTAGTCAGAGTGAGGCACCTCCTATTAGACTGAGACATCTCCAATTAGGCTGAGACACCTGCACTTTTCTTGTACGGAGACTTTAAATTTTAGTATACATTCGTAATGAAAGCCATTTGAAACTAGACACATTTGAGCTAGTAAATCGATAGTAACATTTCCCTAAAAGGATATCTCTAGTCATTTCTCTCCAAACACTTGTAGATATACCTTGGATGAGTCACGTATTCTCGTGAATACATACATCTCTCTTCTTCTGTGATTGCAAAAGTTGGAGATGGAGGGTCACAAAAAGAAAAACAAAAACAAAAAGACATTAGGCATTAATACAAAACGCATCATCAGCTACAACACAACACAGGATCTCTGCACAACAAGTTACTTCCAAAAATGGTCAAATCCATCCGACTAATGGTCGAAGGGAATGTTGATTTATACAAGGTGCTACAGGTACAGCCAGAAGCGACACCTCAAGAAATAAAACAAGCATATCGTAAACAAGCACTACTTTACCATCCCGATAAACAACCCAAGAAGGAGAGAAATCAGGTGGCAGACCACTTCAGCTTGATCTTGACGAGTTACCAGATCCTATCAGATCCCCAGCTACGACAACAGTACGAGGATCTAGTTTGTAGCCACAATAAGCATCCTTCCAAACCCGTAACCAAAATTGCGGGTGTTCGAGATTTACAGCGAAAGTTGAGAGAGAAGGAGATAGTAGCACAACAAGCATCGAATAGCGGTGATGAAATACGTGTTGAAGAGATCAAGAAGCATCTAAATTGGGTTAATATAGAGCAGCTACGAGAAGAAGGAATAAAGAAACGCCGAGTACTTGAGGAAGAGACGATTGAAAATGCAGACCAAGCCAGTAACAGCATTTATGATTTACCCGTGAAAGAAATGCTCCAGGTAAACACAGAACGAGTATTCGCAGCTCGTCTCAAGTTCAAGCAGAGACCCGAGGTGAGGTTGGACAAGAGTGTTATTCTGCAAATTATGAGCATATTTGGTAAGGTCCAAAATGTGGAACTACTTGAAATCAATGATGACAAGTATGGATATGCAGAGGTTGAATTCAATGACAGTGATGCTCTAGATGCAGCGACTGAGTACGACTACTCAACAGCGCAGAGATGGGATGGTACAAGTACCCGAAAGTTGGCAAGCTTGCTACGATCATGCACGAAGGCGTATGGTCCTGATGGAGATACTTGGACAAATAATCCAACAGTAAATGCCGTACTAGACCAATATGTTCAATCCGTATCTGACAGAAATGGGGTGGGTGCTACTGCGTCTCCCTCAGTTCAGTCTTTTCGAAGATTGTAGTTTTGCTCAATATACGATCACGAATTAAACGAATTGAAACTGGATATATCTCAACCCGTGGATCGATTGGTAACTTCTTCTACAATTCAACAAATGTTCTTCTCAAAGTAGTATCTATTGTGAACCTCTAATCATCCCTCCACTTGACAAACACTTCATCTGTCCTGAACCTCTGAGTACACACAGTGTCCGTAAGGTCATTAGTTTGTCCAGTTCTGTACTGCAACAACCCTGCATGAGCAATCATTATACCATTATCAATGCAGAAACGCTCATCAGTGGCAAAAATTTGCCCATTTTTACGATCCTCAATCATCAACTTCATCATTTCTTGTAAGCGCTCATTTGATCCGACACCGCCAACAATCAATACTTGATTACTGTCAACATGAGCCAAGGCACGTTCAGTTATTTCTACTAACATACTGAACAAAATCTCCTGCAAGGAAAAACATAAATCTTCAGCAGTGATGGGCTCACCCGTTTCTTCATCGACCAAGTTTTTGCTTTGCTTCTTATTGAACAAGTCTTTAGCAACACCATCGATGTATGCCAATATCCCCGACATGGACAAGTCCATTCCCTTCACCGTATACGGCAAGTTGACCAAATGCTTTCCCATTTTCGCCAATTGTTCGATATTGTAACCTGGTGCCGGTTCGTTAGGGATTTTCAAAGTTCTTGCAAACCGGTCAAGACAATTACCAATGGCAATGTCCAACGTTTCGCCAAATATTCTATATCGTTGTTTCGAGTACGCAATGACTTGTGTATTCCCACCACTCACATACAACACCACGGGGTTGTTTGCTCCTGTGATTTCACGACCCATTTCAATATGACCCACACAATGATTGACTCCAACTAGCGGCAAATCCCAGAGCTGTGCCAATGTCCTTGCTGCCATTACGACACTCTGTAATGGTGCTCCCATTCCAGGACCTTGGGTGAAACAAATGACATCAATATCAGAACCTCTGATTTGCGCAGTAGCCAAAGCTCGCTTGATCACACGCACTACCCAGTTACGATGATGCCTTGCTGTATCTCGTGGTAAGAAACCTTCGCCCGGTGGTGTTATATAAGTATCTCTGATATTTGACAATACTTGGGCCCGATTCAAAGGCGATAGTTGTCCCTTTGGGTGCTTGATAACTCCGACACCAAGTTTATTGGCAGAGCCTTCGAGGCCAAGTGCAATGTAGTGGTCTTTACCAGGCTTGAGATATTGATCGAGGTCCACCGTCATTAGGGGGAGGGGGGGAAGGGTATTCTGTGGAGCGGTTGGTTGTTGTAGTGGTAATATATGGTGGAAAAAAGTTAAATCTCTGAGATGACAGAGGGCCAATGGAGATTTTGTGCGACTCGCCCAAAACATAAACAAATCCCATACCATGCCATACCATTCATACACACACATCCACTTACTAGACCATAACTGCTCCACTGCAACGACATGTCCCTCTCGAACGAGCTAGACCGCATAGATAGGGCTGCCCAGTCGGTGAAATCGTATGTGTTCAAAACACCAGGGATGTTCACCAACTCCATAGTCAATCCACCACCAATACAAACACTACTACGTGATCCTACACCTGACGAGCGAAGTTTATATAAAGTCACTACTACACCATTGACCCAAACGAGTACAGATGATCCCAAAGTGGAAAGAGTTGATGGCAAGTCAATGTACCAAGAATTTGATTTCGACGATTCGTCATTTATAACAATGAATGAATCAGAAAATGTCGACTATGAACAACCAATTGTTAAACTACCCACGTTGTACCGCCCTGACCCTCACCCTGTCAAGATCGATGTTGGTTTTGAGGAAGGTGGTGACTTGTATGAGGCGATTGAACTATTTGCTGCCACAATAGACAAATACCCAAATGTTATTGAAAATTACGATACGCTCAAAAGCAAAATAGACAAATTGAAACAAGAATTCGTTGACGTAAGCAACGAGATCCAAGAGTTGGAGCTGGAATTGGCTAGCACGAGAAAGACATTGTGGAAGGAGTTCAAGGTGCCTGCTGATGAGCATGCTGTGAGTAGTGGAGAGTTGATTGATCTCGACGCTGAAATACAAAGGGAGGAGAATGAAATTAGACAGCTACAGGCCATACTAGAGAATAGGATGTAGATACAGAATACGATGTCTAGCTATATATATATATATATATATATCCTTACACAGTTTCAATAATTTTTCCCTCAATAATAATTAATACATTATCAAACTATACATATGTACCGATATACCATCAATAGCCAATAATCTCATCAAAAATCATCTTTAAACTGAGGTAAGAATATCTGAGTCACCAGCATCCAAGATAGACAAAGTACCAACTCTGAACAATTTACCACAAACGGTACCCAATTCATTGTTACCACCTTGGAAGTAGTAAACTGGGGTCTTTGACAACATAGCGTAGTATTCCAATTCGGATTTTCTCAAAACTGGGGTGTTAGCGGCAATAATAACCAACTTGGCTTTACCAGTTCTCAAGGATTTGACAACTGATTTGTAGCCCAAGGTATATTTACCTGACTTCATGGACAAAGCCAATTTAGCATTGATGTTTTCTTGGTTCTTAGCTGATTTTGGTGCCTGTATGAAAAAAGGAGCATAGTTAGTATAACAAAATTTCCTGGTATTTAAACAACAACTTGAGCTCATGACATACACCTCTCACTTTTGACATACATTGATAAAATGTAATGCCTTGATGGTTTTGAAAAGGTTGAAGTTGTGACACTTCAAAAAGTCATCATCATCATGTTGTTTATCCCTTTGAGGTAGAAAGTATACGGACCATCGCTGTGTTTTAGTTTATCTGTTTATATCAAAAAGGTTACACTCCGGTCTTGATGTGGTGCAAGAAGTATCCAAGCTCTAGTAGGGATGAGATTGTAAATGAAAATTTATTTGCGAGAGGGAGAGAGAGACACACACAGACGCAGGGAGGAGGAGGAGGAGAAAAAAAAAAAAAAAA